TTTTGCTTCATGAGTTTTCAAGTTCATTTAGAATTATGCCCCCTCCCCAAGTAGTGTGGGACTCAGTATTTTTGTAGTGCAGGCTGGCCTGTAATTCACAAAGATTCTCTTAATAGATTGTCTTTGCTGTTAAGTCTGCTTTATTATTTACATTCCTATTATAAAATTATCCTTGTTGGTTTCCAGGGCAAATATGTTTGTGTTTCCTTTATTCTTTGGTCTATCTGGTTTATATCTAAACTGCATAAATTTGTTTTTTTAATTGTTGGATAATTAATTAGTGGGTATTTTTAGTCCTTCACATTCACACATATTTTAGATAGCTTAAAATTGTCTTGGAGGCCACTGAGTCTGATATCTTTCATTTATTTATTTTGTCTTTATTTTTAAAAATTTGTGTTCAGAAACACAGAATTCCCCCCCCCCCCCCATGGTTTCTTTGTGAAGCCCTGTCTGTCCTGGAACTGTCTCTGTAGTCCAAGCTGGCTTTGAACTCACAGAGATTTGCCTGTCTCTGCTTCTCAAATGTTGGGATTAAAGGTGTGTGCCATCATCACCTGGGCTTGAATTTCTCATTTTTAAATCAATGTTCTGTTAAACCCTTCTGAGTTTTCTTTTCTTGCTGTATTTATTTTTTAGTTATAGAATTCTAGTTGATTTTTATTATTTCAATTACATGTGTTCTTTTATTTAAGCATATTTCTAAGAGTCACTTTTACTTAATTGGTTTCTTTTTATTTATAAGAAAAAAAGCTAAACCCAACACCTTTGGGAGTCATTTCTTTTGACTGCTTTTTTCTTAATGATAAGTTATGCTTTCCTTTTACCTCTTCAGTAAGTTTTAAATTATTGGCTAGATCTTACAGATAAGGGGTAGAGTTTTTGAGGTTTGTTAATCTCTTTGAAGAGTGTTGGCTTTCATTCCAGTGGTCTGGTTGGTGACACTGGTTGGTCATCCTTAATTTAATTTGTGCAGGCTGTTTTACACTTTGTCAGAGTAGGTGTGTGGAAAGAGCAAGTACTGCTATTAAGTACTTTTACCTTAGTTGGGCTCAGCCTCTAGCTAAACTGCTCCCTTTTGATTTGCTGTTAGTTTTTGTTAAGTAGTAGTAGAGCAGGCCTTACTTTAGACCAGTGGTCCTCAACCCGTGGGTTACCACCCTTTGTGGGTTGGACAACCCTTTCACAAGTGTCACATACCAGACATTTATATTACGATTCATAATAGCAGAAATTATACTAATGAAGTAGTAACAAAAATAATGTTATGGTTAGGGGGTCACAGCATTAGGAAGGTTGAGAACCACTGTGTTAGAGTATAGCTGCCCTTTAAGGTGTATCAGCTGAATGCCCAGGACATTTGCAAGGTATGCTTCAGTCTGCTTCAGTGTTTCTGTCCTGTTATCAAACCTGTCATAGTTGCTGTAGTAGACCTGAAATATTTTTTCTCAGGTGACTTCTGTAGTTTACCCAGCAGAACCCAGCACTTCATTTCTTTTGAATTCTAATCTTGGTTCACCAGTCCTCCCTTCCCCCCAGCTCAGTAGTATCATTGTGCCCTGCTTAGGAAACTCTTGCTGTACACCACTTGAGATGTTTTAAAACAGTTTCTAGGCCATTATGGAGTGCTCATTTTACAAAGCTTTGGTAGAAACTGTTGCTTTATAGGATTTATGTGATTTGTAGTGGGAGGGTTAGCTGGTTCCTGTTGTACTATCATAACCAGAAGGGTATGATTCTAACTTATGAATATTTATATTCATTGTGCTAGGAATTACCTGTTTTCTTTTTTAAAAAAATATTTATGTATTTTATATATCTACACATAGAGCCTACATGCCAGAAGAGGAAAGCATCAGATCTCATTATAGATGGTTGTGAGCCACCATGTGCTTGCTGGGAATTGATCTCAGGACTGCTGGAAGGGTAGCCAGTGTTCTTAACCAATGAGCCATCTTTCCGGTCCTAATTGTCTGTTTTCTATAAGAGATTTGTTAAAAGTCCACTCAAATGAAATTACTTGGTTTTGTTAGGAGAAAAAGTTTCTCTATTAAACAGAACATTTTTATGATTTCTGAAATTTTATTATATTTATATAGTATTTGACTTGCAAATTATGCTGTTTTCTTCCCAGTTTTCTCTGGGAAAGATATGAGCATTCTTTTGATTTACTTTATTTTTAGTCAATAAGAGTATGATTGTAGGTGTAGATAATATTTGGCACGAGTTAACTAGAATATTATTCTTGAATCTTCCTTAAAACTAGAAATTCAGCTGACAAGTGTGATGGCACTCTACGAGGCAGAGTTAGGCAGATCTCCAAGTTCAAGATTAGTGTGATCTGCATAACAAGTACCAGGCCAACCAGGGCTTAGATAGTGAGATCTTTTTTTTTTTTTTTTAAAGATTTTATTTATTTATTATGTATATAACATTCTGTTTCCATGTATATCTGTGCACCAGAAGAGGACACCAGATCTCATAGGGGATGGTTGTGAGCCACCATGTGGTTGCTGGGAATTGAACTCAGGACCTCTGGAATAGCAGTCAGTGCTCTTAACCTCTGAGCCATCTCTCCAGCCCACATAGTGAGATCTTATCTCAAAAAATCCAGAAAATTCATAGTCAGTCAGTCAGCCAGTTATAAAGTTAAAGATTTATTTATACATTCATCAGGTATCTTCTGAGTATGTTTTATTATTACCAGCACTGGCATTGAATTTGTCGCTAGGGATTAGAAGGGGACCAAGCAGGCATGAAGAATCTCTACCTTTACTGAGTTTACACTGTTTGGGGAGCCGTCGATAACTAACAAACATGCAGGAAACCACAGATTGTAGGAAGAAAGCAAATGGAGTTGTGAGGGAGTACCTCGATCCTTTACAGTTTCTAAGAGAACACTTACTGCTGGCCTTCATCGAGGTTCTACATTTGACTGGGTAATCAGAGAAAGGATTTTCATATTTTGGCTTAGTGGAAAAGAAGCTAGTGTCTTTGGGTGAGAGGTGGAGTCTGGGACTATGATGGGTTTTCTCATAAAAAATATGTAAAGAAGAAAGGTTCGTTCTTCTATTAGAGGGGCTAAAGAAAGATAATTATGTTTAAGTATGAACAAGAACAAAAGTACAAGATTTAAATTGTGAAGGTGGCCCTAGGCTGGTCAGCACTGTGGTCAAGAGCTTCATCTCTTCTTAGCTTCTTTCTTCAGCCCTAAGACCAAATACTGGTGAGCTTCTCAGGGAAAGAACTGTTTGACGCAGGTTATGCTAACTTCAGGTTTACAGGTATGAAAATGGTAGACTCTGGATGGATGCAGAGTCCATTTCATTCGGTCTTCAGGCAGGTTGAATCCTTTGCCTTATATTTGCTGTTCTGACATGTAGAAGGGATGGCCCACTGGCACTCTGTAGTAGTATCTTTATCTTCTTTGGATTAAATTCTGTGCTAAGAGAAGACAAATAAATGTTTGGTTGTTCCTTCTTCTTCTTCTTCTTCTTCTTCTTCTTCTTCTTCTTCTTCTTCTTCTTCTTCTTCTTCTTCTTCTTCTTCTTCCCCCCCTCCTCCCTCCTCCCCCTCCTCCTCCTCCTCCTCCTCCTCCTCCGCCGCCTCCTCATTTTTTACTTCGAAATAGGGTCTCTCTGTGGGGCCCTGACTGTACTGGAACTAGCCCAATATATCAGACTGCCTGCCTCTGCCTCCCAAGTACTGGGTCTAAAGGTGTACGCCACCACCTCCTGGCAAGTTATGTTTTTTAAAAGACGTAAGATTAGGAAGTGAAATGGAACAAAAGCAAGGAAGAGAGAATGAATTAGGGACAGTGAGTTAAAGAACCTTGATAAAACAAGTAGGTGTTACTGAGAAGGCAGTATTTGAACTTCAGTTCTGAAGGAATTTCCACGAAGAGCAGTGCATACAAAAGAGACAAACTGAAGAGTGACAAGAATTGATTTGTTTATGTGGCTCGTTAGATTGAGTAGATGTAAAAGAGGAACACTCTTGACGTTTTGCTGGCAATTGGAGTAAAAGATGTTGGACTCAGTTGGCATTAATGGGAGTAAGTAGACATGGCTGGGTGTAGAGACAAGTTAAAGGTAGCACTGTAGGATTTTCTGACAAAGGAATTTTTAGCCTGAGCAGCTTGAATAATGGAACAGTCATTCACCAACTTGAGAACTACTGTAGGAAAGAGATACAAGAATAAACCTTGGACATTTCTGCTTTGTATACATGTTACCAGTTATTATTTATTATTGTCTAGTATTTGTTAGCTGTTACATCTTAGACTACATATTTCATAGCTTTGTGATACTTTGCTATGTTCTGGGAATCAGTAGTGGTTATAAATAGATGTCATTCTTACTCTGAAGAAATTTATTAAGCAAAATAGGAATTGATCAAATAACTATTGTTGGTTGCATTTTCTTGGAAATTAATCTTTTATCTAGAATACTTAGAAAAAATGAGAATGAGTTCATAAAATCAGGTTGCAAACTAATCTATAGATTCTTAATTTCAGATGAGTGATACACACACACACACACACACCCACACACACACACACACACACACACACACACACACACACACACACACACACACACCACACTGATATTTCAGACTAAAAGAAGTGTTTGTGCCCTCAGTAAACATTTCTTGGTAAGTGTCTGTTAAATAGTATCTTATTTTTAAAAAAAATAGTTAGCTTAATTAATCTGAGGGAATGGAGCTTTATGAATTAAGCTTTATTTAGCTGAAATGAGATAGTTGCTTATTTGATTGTATTTAAAAGGAGTATTTGCTGAAATATTTGGCTCTTATAAATGTTCTTCCTTGTAAGTGTTATACTTCTACTTTGGAGGCTGGCTTTTGAGACAGGGTTTTACCTGCATTTATTTGGCTAAGGGTCAGTTTGTTCTGCAGCTAGTTGTTAACAATATTTCGGCAGCAACATTCTTATCAGTTAAAATATTACTCATTTTTGGTTTTTAAAAAATCGACAGGTTCGTCATAAGGCATCTCAGAAGGTTTATGCAATGAAGCTTCTTAGTAAGTTTGAAATGATAAAAAGATCAGACTCTGCTTTTTTCTGGGAAGAAAGAGATATTATGGCCTTTGCGAACAGTCCCTGGGTGGTTCAGGTAAGCATGCTAACTTTTATATAAGTCTGTGGGGTTTTTTTTGTGTGTCTATTTAGAAGAATGTTTTGTGTGTAAACGCTCCTATGCTTTTGTTCACATAATAAAAATGCAATAATTTTTTATTAGATATGATTGAGCATGCTTGTTTAATGGTCCTCAATGGTATATCTGTAGAGTTGTGGCATGCAGTGATTACTTAAGCTGGTTATAAAAGCTATTACTGGAAACTATTTCTTTCGTAATTGCTTTATATGAAGATTTGGTGTGATTAGCCAGTATAGCATTCTCTACCACCCTTTCCTTGACATTCACGCAATAGGAACATAGTGAATTCATCCTGTCATTGGGTGGAACACACTGAGGTTAGTTAGACCCCATGTGACATTCTCAGCCTATCTTAACATAGAGAAAAGTTTTTTACAGTAAACAACTTAAACATCCAACAGCACTTTATCTATTTCTCCGTAATATATGATGTTATTAGTGCTCCTGGTTCCACCTCATAACTCATGGATTAGAGAATTGACTTGATATTTGCTTCCTTTTTTGTTATGCTTAACTCCAGCATCCAAATCTACAAGGGTGATGAGTAAGAGTACCCACATGCCAGTGTGTGCTCTGAAGAGCTTAAATGAACTGGAGTTTCATACCTCAGAGGCAGTGTGGAGATTTTTTTGTTTGTTTGTTTTCAAGGTAAGGTTTCTCTGTGTAACAACTTTGGCTGTCCTGGAACTTGATTTGTAGACCAGGCTGACCTTGGAACTCACAGAGATCCGCCTGCCTCTGCCTCCCGAGTGCTGGGTATTGAAACGTGTGTGCTCCACCACCTGGCAGAGATTTTTTTCTTTTTCTTTTTGATCATATAGATGACCTGGTCATTAGTGCTTCTCTTTAGAAATGATGTTGAGGGGGGATGTAGAAATAGCTCATCAGTTAAGAGCTAGGCTGCTCTTCCAGAGGACCCATGTTTGACCAGCATCTACATAGCTCCTCAAAAATGTCTGTAACTTCAGTTCCAGTGGATCCAACACTTCTCTGGCCTTTGCAGACACTGGGAACACTCATGTAGTGCACTTACATACATGCCAGCAGAACACCCAAATACATAAAATAAAATTAAAAATGAGATTGAATCTTAAACATTCTTTTGTTTTTATTTGGCTAATTGGAATTCTGATGTGTCCAGTTCAAACTAATTTTTTTGTGTGTGTGGCATATTGTGAGCCTTGATAATTTGCTTGAGTAAAGAATGCTAGTAATACTGGTGTGGTGGACGAAGCTGCTATCCCAGCACTTGGGAGGCTGCACAAGGGCACTTTTTCTGTTTGAGTTCTATTTGATCTACACAAGAAAATCTTGTCTCAAAAAGAAGGAAAAAGAGGAGAGCACTAAAGTGTCCCACTTTTCATTTAAATCTAAATTGCTTCCATATTAGTGTGTTCATTGGCATTTTCTAGTTAACCATTCCGTCTTTATTTTGCCGAGTAGATTCTTACTGAGAAAGAAAGGTTCTCTTGATTTTTGAAGTTATCTCTGGGTGCTGCTTTTTTTATTTGCTTGCTTCTGGGGGCACGCTGTACAGATACTCTTTCTTGGTATTTGTGGTTATTCTTTTTTTTTGGGGTTTGGTAGCAACACACTGTAGCCCGGGAGCAAGTCACAGTGCAGCTTGCTGCTTATGAATAAAAGGATGGAGAATAGAAAAGAGGAGTTAGTTCTATTCCAAGTGTTGTTACTCATTTTTAAATTGAAATGGGCCTTCTATTTAATTGGTATCTGTTAGATGTTTCTAAGCACTCTTTGGTGTAAGGTATGAGCAATAGCTTGTTTAGTTTTCAGAAAGCTAATGTTTTCTTTGTTCCTATTATGTCTTTTTAAAAATGTTTTTAGTTTCCTACATTGTGTTCTCCATGAGAGGAAAACATTCATTTATGAATATTTTATAGTAAGCCTAGAAAAGTACCCATGTAAAATTGGCCTGCTATTGTTTTCTCACTAAATGGGCCTGACCCAGTGGTCAGAGATGTCATAAATTTTAACTCTGTTTTAGTTATAAAGTAGTCCATTTTTCACTGGTAATAATAATTGTGGGTTGTTTTTTTTCTTTTTTTCTTTTTTTTTTTTAAAATATAATTCTATTCCTTCTCCTTTTCCAGCTCTTTTGTGCCTTCCAAGATGACAGGTACCTGTACATGGTGATGGAGTACATGCCAGGTGGAGACCTTGTGAACCTTATGAGTAATTATGATGTGCCTGAAAAATGGGCCAAGTTTTATACTGCTGAAGTAGTGCTTGCACTGGATGCAATACACTCCATGGGTTTAATACACAGAGATGTGAAGCCTGATAACATGCTCTTGGATAAACATGGACATCTAAAACTAGCAGATTTTGGCACATGTATGAAAATGGATGAAGTAAGTAAGCCAGTAAACAAAATTAGATTTATTCATATTTATTTTGTTTGCATATATGAAAGAGAGAATGTACATACACATGCCAGGGTGTACATGTGGAGGTCAGAAGACAATTCTGTGGAGTCAGTTTTCTCCTTCCACTATTAACATGGTTTCTGAATATGAACTCAGGTCATCTGGCTTGTGCAGCAAGCACCTCTACCTGCCAGTCAGTAATAAAGGTGACAGAGAAAGAGAGAAATTATGTAACTATAATGAAATAATTAGTACCCAAGGGAATAACTCAAGGAATCTAGCCAGGCAGGTTTGTGCAGTTAGGGGCAGATGAAGTGTGTGTCTGAACACCTGGACTGTTTAGTTTTAACACAAGGATGGATAACACCTGTGCTATGCTGACCAAGAGCCTCAGGAAGAGGCTCCCTTGTAGGACACAGTGCTCAGTTCTCATTCTCAAAAGGGACTGGAAGACCTGGTGTCTATTTAAGTCAGTTTAGGGCCTTTTTATACTTTTAAAATTGGAGAAATTTTGTTAATATTTTTCTTTTCTACCTTTATGGGAGATACTTTCCAACCCCCAGACTTCTGATTGATCAATTTTAAGTTTTGAATAAACTCTCTTGACCTGTATTTTGTAAATGACAAAACATCAAATATATTTAGAAAACATTTAATACATTTAAAGTAACTTTTGGGTGCATGTGTGGTATATGCACATGTGTGCAGGTATGCTTGCCAATGAAGGCATGTGTGGAAGCTGCAAGTGGTTGTCAGGTATCTTCCTCTATCTCTCCCCACCATTTAATTGTGTGTGTGTGTGTGTGTGTGTGTGTGTGTGTGTGTGTGTGTGTGTGTACCTGTACCTGTACCTGTACCTGTACCTGTACCTGTGTACTTCCATTAGGAGCCCAGTGGTGGAGGTCAGGTGTTTTCTATCACTTGCTAGTTTATTACCTTGAGACAGTCTCTCACTGAATTGAAGTTCACCATTTCACCTAGGCTGGCCTGCCAGTGAGCTCCCAGGATCTGCCTCCCCACTCCCCACCCACCATCCTGAATGCTGAGAGTGTAAGCATATTCTGTCATCTCCTCCTCCTCCTCCTCCTCCTCCTCCTCCTCCTCCTCCTCCGTCTTTCCCTCCTTCCCTCCTTCCCTCCCTCCCTCATCATTATGCTTGCTTAACAAGTACTCTACTCCTACTCATGGAGTCATCTACCCAGCCTTCCATGTTGAACAGGGTCTCTCTCACTGTACCTAGAGCTCACTGTTTTTGGCAAGACTGGCTGTTCAGTATATCCCTAGGGTCTTCCTGTCTCCACCACTGTACTTCCCTCTTTCAGCCTGGAATTTCAAGCGTGTACTGTCATGCCTGGCTTTTTACTTGGTTGCTAGGAATCCAAAATCAAGTCCTCACTCATGTACACCAGTCACTTTTACCCACCTCCCCAGCCCCCAGTCAAAGTAATTTTGAGTAACCCTTTGAAAATTGATGCCTAGTTACTTTGTTCTCCAGCTCAGACGTCTACAGTAGATACAACAGATTGACTATAATTCAGGCTCCTTAGCCTGTGATAGAAGCCTCTTGAGATACAGCTCCTCTTGCTGTCCCCTGACAATACTTTGGAGCTCCATAGTTGTGATTTTTCATGTTATTTAATGATTCACGTAGTCTATATATTCTGGACCCAGGCCATTTTCTATTTATGTGTGGGAACTTGGCTCAAAGATTGTTACTTTATGAAGGCTCCTTAGGTTGGCCCTGTATCCTTTCAGCAGTCCCCTTTAGTTTATTTGCTTTGGTTTTGACACTACAGAATACTAAAATTTGGTTTATTTGTTTGGTGCGTGCGTGCGTGCGTGTTTTCCTTAGCCCTAGAGCCACTGCAGGAAGCTCTAATTCCTTTTATTAGAGAACCATACCATGCTAAATGGGCTCAGGATGGCTTTTAGCTCAGGGTAGAGCTGGAGGCATGGGTCATGCATACCCAATGTTAAGTGTCAGGCTCAGTTAGGGTAGTGCTGGGGAGCATGGGTCATATGCTCCCAGTATTAAGTCACATGTTTACAGTTGAGTCTGTGTCACTATAGATAGTATGTCAAATGCCACATTGATATCTCTGCTTGAAGTCTAACATCACAGAGCCCAGACTAGTCTTCCTCTTTCCTTGTAAAACTCTGGCTCTTGTTAGCTAGGTATAGGCTTTTTGTTTGTTTGTGTAACCCTAGCATACATTTAAAATTGTTTCATAATTGCTAGACCCCACTACTGAGATGAATAGATTTGCTAACAATGTTCTTTGGCTTGAAGATGTCCTGCAGCTTTCTACACCTCCTTGGATTAATTCATTTTTTCCCCCTACCTTCACTGTAGTTATTGGGGGTGGGTGGGTAACTTTTCACTTTTTTGTATGTGAAACTTCCTCTGATTTTAAGAGCTCTGTCTATGCAAAGTATATGATCAAGGCAGGGTAGCTTGCTTCCTGTTCCCACCACCCTCTTCCCATTTCTCCCTAAAGGTAAGTGAGTCAATTATTTTGGTTTCTAGTTTACCTTTTAGTAGTTCTTTAAATAAGGCCAGAGACTTGTCATAAATGTTGGTTCTGTATCCACTTAATTGAATACTTCTCTGTCAGACAGTATAAAAATATTAAGTACTTCTTTCCAAATGTTTATTTGAAAGAAAACAGTGTATCAGCCAAAAATTGTGGATAAGAGCAATGATTTTTAAAGGGAGAATGCTATTCATCATAGTGCCACAAAAGTGTTTATTTTATAAGGAGTCACTGAGACTCAAACTCAGTTCTCTTATGATTCTTATCTTTGTCAAAACATATCTGAGGAACTACGGGAATGGCTCAATGGATAAGACACTCACCTGTCAAGCATGAGGATATGAGTTCAGACTCCCAGTTCCCACATAAGGCCAAGTATGGAGGCCCGTACCTATGCTGGAGACCCAGAGGCAGAAGGATCCCTGGGCTGTGCCTGGTGCTAGTCTAGCCAGTGACCAGCATTGTCCTCTGGCTTATACACACAGAAGCACACAAACATGAGCATGTACACGTTTTACACATACACAGGCTTAAAAGAAGACACTCACAGAAAGTATCTTACCCAACAAAACCAAACACAGGTAAAGGTGTTGAATCACTTTGCCAAATATGTTGATGACACAATTACGTGATTAGAAATACATAAAGTTAAGAAGCATCAAACCTTGATGGTCTTTTAGTTTAAATGTTTACTAAGTTTCTTCAGTCTGTCTTGATAAACTCTAAACCACTTCTTAACCTCATTGTAAGGGCTTCTGCTTCTTTTCAAAATAGCAAAGTTGCTTTTTTCCTAATGAGTCTTTTGTTTTCCCCATGTTGTGTCATTAAGATCACATTTTGTACCCCTCTTTATTATGTAATAAATAAACCACAAAAGTTGTTGGTTTTCATAGTCTTGGCAGCCCACTGCCTTTTCCTTTTTCCTTGTATGAAAACTTACTCTGGTCCCCCTGACCCAGACTTTTCTATGCATTTGGCGGAGTGTGTATCTCCTGAGTCCTAAAGCCAGGTTAGCAGTGATGTGTCACTGTCTGATAACAAATCAGTCGTCTCTGTGTGTATTCACCTTTGTCTGGTTGTTCAGCTTTGTTTTTTAATTCTGCTGTTTACCCAGACAGGCATGGTGCATTGCGATACAGCAGTTGGAACTCCTGATTACATATCACCTGAGGTTCTGAAATCCCAAGGTGGCGATGGTTACTATGGGCGAGAATGTGATTGGTGGTCTGTAGGTGTTTTCCTTTTTGAGATGCTAGTGGGTAAGTCACAACACCTTATAGTTCAGTCAAGAATTGGAGAATGTAAAGGAATTGTGGTTTACAACCGGATGTAGAGCTGGCGAGATGATTTAAGGGGTAAAAGCACTGGTTGCCCAGCCTGATGATCTGGGTTTGATCTCTAGGACTCAGGTGCAGATGGAAGAGAATCATTACCTGCTAATTGTTCTCTGATTTTCACCTGTGAATGTGACCTATGCATGTGTGCACATGCTCACACATGCACATGCCAATATATAAGTAAAGGAAGTAGAACCTGATAGAAGAAGTGCAGTGACTGAAAAGTCCACCGTGGAAAGAAATTATGCTGTATGTTGGTAGGAAGTTTTCTCTTAGTAGATCCTTTTTTATTTTTTAAATATTTTTCTATAGCTGGTGCTGACCTCAAACTCAAAATCTGTTACCTCAGCCTCTTTCATGCTGAGATTGCAGATGTGCCACTACTCATCACTAGATCTTTTTTTAAATTAAAGCAGTATTAGAACAAGAACAAATTTACAGCTTTTGTAGGCCTCCACTAATCTCTTAATCCCTTGGAGCTGGGGTTCCAGGCAGCTGTGGCATGGGTGCTAGGAACCAAACTCTGGAAGAAGAGTTAGAAGCAAATGCTCTTAACTGCTGAGCCATCGTTCCAGCCCCAATAGTTTACAAGGTGGTTCTTTTTAAAGATTTATTTACTTCGTGTGTGTGTGTGTGTGTGTGTGTGTGTGTGTGTGTGTGTCAAATGGTTAAAGAGGACAAAAAGGCATTGATGCCCCTGCAGCTGAAGACCAGTTGGTTTTGAACACCTGACACGGGTGCTGGGAACTGAGATTTTGCATGCTCTTAGCCACTTAAGCTATCTCACTAGCCCCAAGGTATCTTAATAATCTTTTTCTTATAAATATTTTAAATGGTTCAGTAAATATTTAAGTAAATGTTAGTATTTGTTCCAATAGTTACAAGGAACTAAAAGCATTCTTTAGTTCATGTAATCTATGTCATTGAATTATAAACTGTGTTTTATTTACTATTTGTATATGTTTTCAGGCTTTTATTAGTTAGAGACATGATTTCTCTATGTACCCTTGGCTGCCCTGGAACTCAGCACATAAACAAATACATATTCTTTATGTTCCTCCTCTTCTTCCTCCTCCTCCTTCTCTTTTTTCTTCTCTTCCTTCTCCTCCTTTCTTTTTTTCAGACACACTCTCAGGTAGACCAGGCTGGCCTGGAATTCATAACAGATCCAACTGGAGCGCTGGGATTAAGGTGTGCGCAATCACTTTATAATTAGTTCATCACAGTGAGATGAATTACAAAATTATTTTCAGTTAGGTTTTTAATATATAATTTTTCTTTTTTGTTTGGTTTGGTTTTCGTTTTGTTTGTTTGTTTGTTTTGAGATGGGATCTTTCTATGTAGCTCTGGCTGTCCTGGAACTCATTGTGTAGATCAGGCTGGTCTGAACTCACAGAGATCTACCTGCTTCTGTCCCCCGAGTTCCAGGAATAAAGATGTGCACCACTACACCTGATCCCAAGATACAGTATTTCAATTAGAGGAAACTTAGAGGCAAATTTATTTTTTCAAAGGTGGAAGGTCATTGGTATGTTTACATTTTATATGTATTCTGTTATTTCCACTGTGATTCTTGGCATATAGGCCATTTATTCTTTCATGCAAGAAGATGGATTTAAACTTAAGATACTTAAATGTTATATGAAAAGTATTTAACTTTTATTCCACTCATTGCTGTCTGTCTTTAAAATTTAGGGGATACTCCATTTTATGCGGATTCACTTGTAGGAACCTACAGCAAAATTATGGATCATAAAAATTCACTGTGTTTCCCTGAAGATACAGAAATTTCTAAACATGCTAAGAATCTCATCTGTGCCTTCTTAACAGACAGGTAAATATATACAGTTTCTTTGTGATGGAACCCTTTTACATTAGTAATTTGCAGAAGTAAAAGTATGTTTGCTTTATAAACATAGGAAATCAACCTCTGTTGTTATCCTAGTTGCATTTAATTCTGGTTTAGCCCCCCCACACACATACAACTTAAGCCTGGTGTGGGGTTACCTTCATCATTTTGTGAATACTGACCTAATTATCATCTAATTTATATCTTCATCTTTATGTCTATAAAGATGCATAAATGATTTAATAAATGAATATATTTGAAAGATAAAATTTATGTCTCACATTTTACCCTCTTATGAAGTAATTCATATTACTCTTGATTGTATAACTTTGAGAGGACAGCTTGGTAGTTTATAATTTTAAGAACTATTTGTTTAAAGGTTGGGGAGGTGGCACATGCCTTTAATCCCAGCACTGATTTTTAAAAAAAGATGAACAAAAGTGTGAAAGCTGCCTTAGAAAGAGTGAGGAAGCTATTTGATTTTTCCTTGGTTTCTCTATTCATTTGCTGAAGAGAACTTTAAGTTTTGTTAGTTATATGATTGATGACAAGCCAACATTGATAAAATATAACCTGAGGAATGTTTGCTAGAGTTGGTAAGGATTTCATTATAACATGGGGTGCAAACTGCAAATTCACCAGAAACACGCATTTGATGATTTGTATTTCCATCCAGTTTTCAGGAATGCTCTGGGGGAGTTAAAGAAATTCTTAATAACCTTTTTTTTTTTTTTCATTTATTCAGAATGATGATTTTAATATAAATGGAGAGAGTGCTTCTAGTAGTAAATATCGGTAGTTCTTTTTAAGAGGAAAAAGATTTTTAACTGGTGCTTCTATGAGAGCAGCCTGAAGTAATGCTTTGCCTAAAGTTGTCCTGAGCTGAGGTCAGTAGGCCATGCAATTTGGCATGTGCAGAGGGAATCTTTTACCTGTTGTATTTATGTTTGATTGACAGCAGAATACCAATGGAAGTGGAGTTTATTTACCATATAGTTTACTCTGCACTACACATCATTATACCTCTTTAATATGTATAGAGGTCAGACACATAGCTTATTTTTGAGAGACATTTAAACTGAAACTTTAAATAAAAGTATTTCAATGTATGATCCTTTGGTGAAAATGTAAAATTAATATTCTTATTTTTCATAATACAATCTTTAACTGCATTGTTTAGGGAGGTACGACTTGGAAGAAATGGGGTAGAAGAAATCAAACAGCATCCTTTCTTTAAGAATGACCAGTGGAATTGGGAAAACATAAGAGAGAGTAAGTCAGTCAATCCAAGCGTTCCATCTTATCACAGTTTGAATATTATAAATTGATTTCATCTTCTGAAATAGCACATGTTTGATAGAATGTGTGATAACTCAGTTTTAAATTGAGAGATCAGCTTTTCCTGTGGCAAAATGTAACTAAATAGTTCATCTCTCTTCTAGTAAACTAGTGTGCATTTTTTTAAGCAACATTTCCCAATTATTTTTGTAATAAAGATCATACATTTCTTAATTTGGCAGTTCTGTGGATCTCAATCATGAAATGTAGTCCTTTTTTTAAAAAAAAATTTACTGATTTTTATTTTATGTACATTGGTATTTTCCCTGCATGTATATCTGTCTGAGGGCATTGGATCCCCTGGAACAGGAGTTACAGACAGGTGTGAGCTGCATTGTGGGTGCTGGGAATTGAACCCACGTTCTCTGGAAGAACAGCCAGTTTTCTTAACCACCGTGCCCTTTTTTTTTTTTTTTTTTTGTGGCTTTTCGAGACAGGGTTTCTCTGTGTAGCTTTGGAGCCTGTCCTGAAACTCCTTCTGTATACCAGGCTGGCCTCGAATTCAGAGATCCCTGCCTCTGCCTCCCAACTACTGGGGTTAAAGGTGTGCACCACCACCGCTCAGCTGAAATGTTTTCCTTTTAACTTGAGTACTTAAGTTGAAAAATTAGTTACTTTTTAAGACCATATTCTGACAAAACATATTTACTTTCATGTGTATAATGTTGATTTGTTTTAAGAGTAAGAAATATTTCTGCTTTAAAAGTGTAGAAAACTAAGCCAGGCAGTGGTGATGTACACCTTTAATCCCAGCACTTGGGAGGCAGACTCAGGTGGATCTCTGTGAGTTCGAGGTCAGCCTGGTCTACAGAGTTAGTTTCAAGACAGCCAGAGAAACCCTGTCTCAAAAAAACATACAAACCCCAAAATGTATAAAACTGAGGATCCTCTACAATACATGTCTATTACTGCTACTTGTAATTTTTAGCTCCTAGAATAATAGAATAAACCTTCCTTGTTTGATGTATTTGCCTGTATTTAAAGCTGATATAATAGAGTAATAAATTACTTACAATGGGCTATTTCTATGAAATGACAGATGGAAGATATGTTGCTAGATTTTTGTATAAAATGAAGGTTAGTTGATCTTGTTTTGTCTATGAGTGAAGTAATACTTTTTTTCCTCCCAGCGGCAGCTCCAGTGGTGCCTGAGCTCAGCAGTGACATAGACAGCAGCAACTTTGATGACATTGAGGACGACAAAGGAGATGTAGAGACCTTCCCAATTCCAAAAGCTTTTGTGGGAAATCAGCTGCCTTTTATAGGATTTACCTACTTTAGAGAGAATTTGTATGTGATTTATTTATTAAAAATTTTTATTATCAGAGCCTAGCTGTAAGGTTTTTGCCTATGGACTGTCTAAACTACTTTTAACATTATTTCATCATTTGATGTTTGAATGTTAGATTTTATTCATCTATAAATGATCAAAAGGCACTGTCATATTCTTTTGAAGATAGGCAGTAAGAACAGATGCTTGATTTTGATGGAGTTTATTATCTCATGCAGGATATAAGAGAATTGCAGAATTATAAAGAAATGTAGGAGGTGACATTTACCATTAAAAAGATTATCCCAGTGGATGTTCTGCTAAGGGAATTTTGGCTAGTAAGCAAGGAGGAGCCACTGAAAACTGTTAAATACTGGAATCAAATATTAAAAATGTGAGAAACTTCTTGGTACACCCACATGTAATGATGAGAATGACAGCTGTTAACAGTTGTTCAGGTTTGAGGTGCTTCCTAGGATGAGATAACAAAACCAGGAAAAGCTCAGGCAAATGAAGATGGGTTGGTCATCTTCCTAATAATAACGCTCTAAGACTTTTTAAAGTTCTGAGCAAAAGAAGGGTATTGGACTGGGGGGATGACTCAGTAGTTAAGAGGATTGACTGCTCTTCCAGAGGGTCCAGGTTTGATTCTGAGAACCCATATAGTAGCTCAGCACCATCTATAATTCCTGTTCCAGGGATCCAGTGCCCTCCTCTGGCCTCTTGGTGCACAGACAAACATTCAGATGAAACACCTGTACACACAAAATTAAAGAATATATGTTTTTAAAAAAGAGTATCAGGATAAAAGAAACTTATGCGTGTTTATAGATGGTGGGAAGGACACACCTGAAGGAGAAATGGATAGTAATATCAAAATGATGACTTAGGGGCTGACAAGATGGCTTAGTAGAGAAGGCACTTGTTGCTGAGCCTGAAGACCTACGTGGTGGAAAGAGAACCAACTCCCACAAATTGACCTCTGACCTCTGTACCAATCTCCTGTCATTAGTGTACATGAGCACACAACAATAAATGAGTGTAATAAATTGTTAAGGTTTTTAAAAGTTGATCTAAAATTACAACATCGAGCTCTTATGTTATCTTTGCCAAAAAGAAGAGATGTTCCTTTCTAAAAGAAACAGAATATAATCATTATGGAAACGCAAGTAGGATGAAGAGGTCCATGTAGTAGCACTAGTCCTAACAGAGTTGAGCCTGGGCGCCTCCTATGCAGAGGCAGAGAGTTGTGACTGCCCAGCAGCAGAATTAAGTGTTGCACCTAGAATGTTTAAGTAAGAGTTGAAATAAGGTGAAATGTGAAAAATCTTTCCTTCTGTCTTTCCAGATTATTAAGTGACTCTCCATCTTGTAGAGAAAATGATGCAATACAAACAAGGAAAAGTGAAGTATGTATACATTTTTACTGTTACTTTCTTTAGTTACATGTTCAAATACACTAAAAAAAACTGTTTACTTCTATTTTCTGGGTATGAGTGTTTTGCCTGTATTTCTGTCTGTTTACTGTGTGCATATAATGTTAGTGGAGACCAGAAGAGGGTTGGAGCCCCTGACACTGGAGTTACAGATAGTTCTAACAAGCGGATTCTGGGAACTGAACCCAGATCCTCTGAGGAGCAGCCAGTGCCCTTAGCTGGTGGACCATCTCTCCAGCCCCGTCATACCACTGGTTTTTTAAAGTTCACTTGATAATTCTTTGTGAACCATGAGCTACTATTCTTTTAAGTGTAAAGTCTTGTGCAGCACAACTTTTAAGTAATTCATTTATGTCAATATGTGCTTTCAGCTTCATTCAGTAGCAAGAGTGATAGATTTATAAATAGCTCTGATACCAGTTAGAAGATGTTATGATCTTAGTGCTGTAAAAGAGTACACATACTAAAAAGTGTGGTGTAGAAGTCAGGGAGTGATTCAGCTTCTGAGTTCCTGTTTACTAATGTATTTATATAAAGAACTGTCAATCAGAGTGTTAAAATATCTTGTGACTGCATACAAAGCTAAATCATTCACATAAAAGTGTAAGTTACAATGCTAATTTTTCTTCAAACTTAAAGGTAGAAAAGCCTGTTGGATAATTTTGGAACAGTATAGGACTTTTATAAAAATATAACAAGCACTAAATGTTCTCTGTCTTTTCTTTTTTTTCCTGAATAGGAAAGTCAAGAGGTACGTTGTCAAATATACTGAAAAGGAGACAAACACATGTTTTAAGCTAGTCATAGTCTGCTTCCCATTTGGAGTACTGCGTCTGCCCAAGAGACTTCCCATCCTTTTTTCTGCCAAGTACCCTTTTATTATTTTTTCTTACGAATCTATTGTTTAAAATGAGTTATGTAATTTTTTTTTTTTTTTAACGAGGGACATGTAATAGTATGTTCTGAGTATTACAGTAGCCAAAAGTACTTATCTTGACTCACTCATTAGCCTGTATTTTCTTTAAAACAAAAAATACTATTGTTTGGAAAGTGGTTTGGTGTATATGTATTGAAGAGGATAATGTTAGTTGACTCACATGTTTAGTATATTTTGAGCATGATTGAATTCGGGTGTAAGATATTATCCTCAAGAGCCATCCATTTTCTGTTTTGTTTTGGTTTTTGCTTGTTTGTTTGCTTGTTCAAGCAGATTCTCTCCAAGTAAGCCAGACTGGCTGGCCAGCAAGCCCCAGAGATCTGCTTGTTTCTGTCACACTTCCCCCAAACACCCCTTCCCTCAGTACTGGAGTTAGAGACTGGAGCCTCTGTGACTTGATTTTGTTGTTTTATTTGGTTGGTTGGTGTTTTGTTTTGGAGACCAGTCTCAGTTTGTAGCCTTAGCCGACCTAGAGCTCATCCTCTAGATCCAGTTGGCCTCTCCCTGCCTCAGCCTCTCCAGTGTTGGGGACTAACATGCCTCCACTTTGCCATCTGTGGTAGGGATCCAGACTCAGATCTCTGTGCTTATGCAGTAAGCAGCTCACTGGCTGAGCCATCTCCTCAGCTCTTAGCCTATACTTGTGTTAGACAATAGAGGAGTTGTTTGATTGTTTGTTGATTTTAAGATGAATGGAATATTTAAGACACCCCAGGGAACATACTCATTAGAACCTTGGCTTTGGTGTACCTGCCTTGGCCTGAGTATTCACCTTGTTGAATTTCATTTAACCAAGTGGATATAGCACAACTACCATTGTTGTTCTTATTTTGAGGCCTGGAACTCAGTATGTACAATAGGCTGGCCTTGAACTCCCAGAAGTGCTCCTTCCTCTGCCTCCTGGGAGGTGTAAAGGCATGTGTCACCACACCTAGGAGATACTGTCTTATGTATTTTGTTCCTGTTAATGGGACAACACTTGTAAAGTACCTGATATTGCATCCAAGGCACCATAGGATCTCAAAAAGTTAAATCCTTAAAACAAAGCAAAAACAAAAACAAAAGGGAAGGTGCTGGTGGACATACCTTTGATTCTATCACTCAGAAGCAGAGGCAGGTGGATCTGTCAGGCGAAGGCCAGCTGGCTACATAGCAGTTCCAGACTACCCAGAGCTACATAGTGAGATCCTGTCTCCAAACAAGGAAAAAACTGTGGTGCTGGAAGATAGCTCAGTGATTAAGAGTGGTTATTGCTCTAGTAGAGAACCTGTGTTCAATTCCCAGCACCCATGTGGTGGCTTCAGTTGGAAGGGATCTGATGCCCTCTTCTGGCCTCCAAGAGCTCCTGTACAGATGTGGTGCACTTTAAAATCATGCAGGTATACACATGCATGTAAAAAGATAGTAATTTTTTTTTAAAGAGTATTTCAAATGTGTTACTTAGTAGTTTTTAGCATTTTAACTTGCTTAAAACAGCTAATAAAAGGTAAGGATTTGAAATAGGATTAGCTATCATTTACACAAGATTCATTAAATCTTTCATAGTAATGTTCTTATCACTGTGTAGGAAATCACAAAAGAGCTTATTACTGTAAATGTATTCATACACATATGTGTACTGTGAAGGAAAGAGCGGGAGTTAAGGGCCCTTTCCCTCTGAGTCAGAGTCACACTAGCAGGCACCAATCCTGTGTGTATTCTTACAGAGGTCTATAAGTACAAAGGTAAATAGGGAACATTGCTTACTTGAAGCCTCTCATCTTTGTTATCAAAACTTATAATTTCTTATAATTTTTTGACAGATTCAGAAAAAATTATATGCACTAGAAGAAAACCTTAGCAGTGAATTGCAAGCCAAGGAGGAGCTGGAACAGAAGTGCAAGTATGCTGCCAAGCAGTGCATTTAAAATTGAAGCTTAAACACAGTACTGAAAGTGAAAAAGCGCAAATAAATTATATAAGTGCTGTCTCAACTAATAGACTGTGCTTTTATCGTAAACTACAATTATTTTATTTATTGCTTCTTTCTGAAATTCTTTAGATCTATTAATACTCGCCTAGAGAAAACAGCAAAGGAGCTAGAAGAGGAGGTAAAAATTTCCTATACTGTATTAGCATTTTTGTTAGTTTGTTTGATATCCACTTAGCTACAGAGTTCCCAGAGTAGCATGCAGTACATAGCATTAAAACCTACCTGAGTCATAAATAAACAAGATGGAAATCACTGCAGGGTGACTTCTCTTACTTAGGCTTACTTTGGCAATTTGATAATTTAGTGTAGCTATTTCAAGGTTTTTTTTTTTTTTTGTATGATGGTATATATGTCTGTAAATGTCATAATGAAACTATTACTTTGTATACTAACTTAAAAATTAATTTTAAAAATTTGCTTTTATATGATTATTAGGATGGCTGGTATACTTTAAAAACAGGAAATAATTCATTTTTAAGAATTACTGATATTAATAACATTTTAGGTCCATGGGATCAAATAGTGATAGTTCATAGTGATAGAAAGTTTCAGAAAGCTTGATTATTAATGGTATAATAGATTGAATATTTATTTTAATTTTGATTATCTCATTGTAGTATGCTACTTTGCAAACATGGGGAACATAATTATTTTTTAATTTTAACAAAACAATTTTAGGTCTCTATGTGTTTGAGATTACTGATGGGTTTTGATCTGATGTCTTTGCCCATTTCCTTTTGATGATAATGTTAATCGTTATTTCAGATTACCTTTAGGAAAAACGTGGAGTCGGCACTGAGACAGTTGGAAAGAGAAAAGGCCCTTCTTCAGCACAAAAATGCAGAATATCAGCGGAAAGCTGATCATGAAGCTGACAAGAAACGGAATTTAGAAAATGATGGTTTGTGATATAAAATAATAAATGTTTAAGAAAAATATTGAATGTCTATGTTGTATTGAGGCTTGCTACTAAAATGCTTTGTTTCATAGTTAACAGCTTAAAAGATCAACTTGAAGATTTGAAGAAAAGAAACCAGAGCTCTCAGATATCCACTGAGAAGGTCAATCAGCTCCAGAAACAAGTAGGTGGTCTGTGTGTGGAGTACTGAGTCTGTCCACAACTGTTAATGCTGACTGCAATGTTGCCAAGCTCTTAGCTCTAATATTTAAGGGGATGATACGTGGAGTCTTCATTTAAGTAGTCTGTAACAAGATAATAAATTGATGTACTATGTTATTCACTGTGTTACATCTGTGCTTATCTGCTTGCTTTTGAATTGGATAACAGCTGGATGAAGCTAATGCTTTGCTGCGATCAGAGTCTGACACTGCAGCAAGGTTAAGAAAAACCCAGGCAGAAAGTTCCAAACAGATTCAGCAGCTGGAATCTAACAATAGAGATCTACAAGATAAAAACTGCCTGCTTGAGACTGCCAAGTTAAAGCTTGAAAAGGAATTTATCAATCTTCAATCAGCTCTAGAATCTGAAAGGAGGGACCGGACCCATGGATCAGAAATAATTCATGATTTACAAGGTATAAAAAAGCAGTAGTTGTATTTGATATGATTTTTGATAATTCATGATTTTGAAATAACTTTAGATGAATAATAAATAACCTGGGGTTTTTTGTTTGTCACGTTGCTTTTTGTTTTTCAAGACAGGGTTTCTCTGTATAGACCTAGATGTCCTGGAATCAGGCTGGCCTCAAATGCAGAGATCTGCCTGACTACCTGGGATTAAAGTCGTGTGCCAGTGTATGGTGTGTGTGTGTGTGTGTGTGTGTGTGTGTGTGTGTGTGTGTGTGTTGTGTGTGTGTTTATTTGTTTGCTTTTTATGAAGTATTTGTTAGTAAAGTTAGAGCCTTGGGCTAGAGACAGCTTAGTTGTTTAAGAGCACATATTGCTAAGAAGTTTAGTTCTTAGCACTTTTACCAGGAGGCTCACAGTCTGCCTGCAATTCCAGCTTCAGTGATTTCCAAGGCTCTCTTCTGGCTTCCTTGAACACTGCACTCATATGTACAAACCCATCCTCAGACACAAACACATAGACATAAGTAAAATAAAAATTACAAAATAATATTAGGACATTGCAAGTATATTGCTAAAAAATTTATGAACAAAAGATACACTTTCAAATAGTATTTATTAGATTTAAATGGTCAATTGAGTTCTAGCTAAATTAATTTTTAAAGTACTGTTCTGACAGGTTAAAAAATTCTTGCTCACAAATAACAACTTCAAAATATGAGGTAGATAATTTTTAACTGAATGCATGTTGAGTATGTTGTTTTAAGCAATGTTTGAATTTTTAGGTAGAATATCTGGGCTGGAAGAAGATTTGAAGACTGGCAAAGCCTTGCTAACAAAAGTAGAGCTGGAGAAGAGACAGCTGCAGGAGAAGCTCACTGACCTAGAGAAGGTAAGCATGGCACACTGTACTTTGTGTGTAAGAAGAGGACAGTGCGATTTTAGATGAGAAAAGGGAATAATTAAAAATTCATTCACTAGGTAGAATATTTTCACAGATACATGGACTTTTCTGTTTGGACTTGACTATATAAATAGGGACGACTACTTTAATACCATTTAGGCAGCCTTTGGTATGCTAGATTACATGAAGGAAGGGACTTGGTGTATATAATGATGCTATTTTAGACACCCAGGGGAAATTCAGACTTTTTCAAATTTTACTTTTTTATATTTTGCATTTGAATGCTATGCATATAATTCTATCTGCCAGAAGAGGGCCTTATATCCTATTTGGCTGTGAGCTACCACGTGGTTGCTGGGAATTGAACTCAGGACCCCTGGAAGAGCAGCCAGTGCTCTTAACCCCTGAGCCATCTCTCCAGCCCCAGAAATTCAGACATTTTAAGATAAATTTTATTCTTTGAGAATTTTATACTGTGTAGGAAAATCCACATTTTGACTGGATAACTTAAAAATTAATATAACACAAAATTAAAATAATGACTTGTACTGGACTGTGGTGGACTTGGGAGGCAGAGGCAGACAGATTTCTGTGAGTTCAAGGCCAGCCTGGTCTACAAAGCAAGTTTGGAAAACCTCAGGGGGAATGTATGACTTGTGACATTGTTAGGTTAGTTTTCTTTTTTCTTTTTGAATACTCAGGGGCCAGAGATTATTTCTAGTTAATATTTTATTTTCATTTGTTTATTCATTGATCTGAATATTTAATGTTTTCTATAGTAGAAATATTAGGATACCATGATGCTTTCAATAATATCACAGTCTGATAGATAATTTTAAAAGTGACAATAAGCTGGTTATGGTGATACAAACCTTTGATCCCAGCAATAGGGAGACAGGCAGGTGGATCTCTGTGAGTTCAACACTAGTTGGGGGCTACCTGGTGAGTGCCAGGCTCAAAAAAATAGTGTAATATTAAAGCCCCTAGGTCAGTGGTTTTCAATCTATGGTTCAAGATTCATTTGGGATGTTGAACAACACTTTCACATGCCTAATACCATCAGAAACACAAATATTTACATTATAATTTATAGCAGTAGCAAATTACAGTTATAAAGTAGCAATGGAAATAATTTTATGATTGGGGGGTCACCACAACATGAGGAACTGTATTAAAGGGTCACAGCATTAGAAAGGTTAAGAACCACTGCCCTAGGTAATTCTAATGTGTTGTATGCAAACAAAATGCTAGCTATTTGTAGAAAATGAACCGGACAGGGTATGTGAGAGAGCAGGGCAGGAGAAGAAGCAGACTTTAGCTGGAGGAGCAGGAACAGTAACAGCATGATTTGTTTGTTCAGTCAGTATTTCTAGAGTATGGTATCTGAGTCATCAAACTAATCCTTTAGGGGTAAGGTAAAGAATACTTCAGGTTTTGTTGCAAATCCTAGGGCATATGTAGAAAATAGATTGACTTCTGTTATCCAAGATTTTCAAACTTAGAACATGTCTGGTTGGGCATGTAGCTCAGTGGTCAAGTACTTGGTTAGCATGTCCAAGACCCTGAGTTCACTCCCCAGCATCACAGAAAAATACCAACTATTTGGGTGGTAGAACACCTTGAGGTTTGTTATTGTTTCATATAGTTAGATTGCAAACATTACTTCTTATTTGTTTGTTTGACTTTGTTTTTGTTTTTCTGAGACAGTTTCTCTGTGTAGCCCTGACTGTCCTGGAACTCACTTTGTAGATCAGGCTGGTTTTGAACTCACAGAGATCCACCTGCTTCTCTCTACTGAATGCAGGGATTAAAGATGTGCGCCACCACTGCCAGTGAACAAACATTGCTTGTTTGTCTTTTTGTGGACCAGGCTAGCTTCAAACTTCCAGATATTTCCCTGACCTTGTCTCCTGAGTGCTGGGTTTAAAGGTCTGGCCATCACGCATGGCTACTAGATAGTTTTTAAAGTTTGAAACATCATGTTTGAGGAAGAGAGACCTTATAGCTAAAGAACACCAGAGGCCTGTAGCTGGGGAGATGGTCCAGCATTTGAGAGTACCTGTTCTGCTTGCAGAGGACCCAGGTTTGGTCCAGCCTTCACAAGGTGGCTCATAACCATCTGTAATTCCAGTTCTAGGGGATCTGTCACCCTCTTCTGACACATGGGCATCAGGCACACATGTGTGTATACATACATATACAGAAGCAACATACAAACACATTTAAAATAAAGTGATAGTTGAAAAAAGAGTAAAACTAGCTTCTGAGAGGTAGCTGGGGAGCCTTCAGAGTGGTAGGAAGGTGAGAGCTAGTTAGGGAGAGTGAGGGGATACATTGTCAATAGCATCAGTGGAGCATGTCTGCAGATAAAAACACAGAATGAGAGAGCCTGAGAAGTTTTGTATGGTGAGAATAGCACTCTAGTCACTTCACTGAAATGAAACAGGCTCAGTTCAGGTCTCAGAACAAAGTGGATGGATGGCAGAAAAGCCGGTGGGTATGTATGTATGTTATAAGAAATTCAGGTGTAGAAAGGAAGGAAGATACTGAACATTGTTTAAAAGCAATTTTAAGATTTTTTGAAATTCTGTTAATAATCACTATTGACAATGTTACATAGGAAAAGAGCAACATGGAAATAGATATGACATACCAACTGAAGGTGATACAGCAGAGTTTAGAGCAAGAAGAAGCGGAACACAAGACCACAAAAGCACGGCTAGCAGACAAAAACAAGATCTATGAATCCATTGAAGAAGCTAAGTCAGAAGCCATGAAAGGTATGCACTGTGAGGTGTGTTCCCAGAACATTTTCCACGAGTTGATTCTAGAGTCAATCTTCACTTTTACAAAATACAATATAATAAATATAAATATAAAATATAATATTGCCAAGTATTGGGAACTGAAAGGAAGAAAATTATCAGGGAAACTAAATATGCTTTTTTGTTTGTTTGTTTGTTTTGTTTTGTTTTTCAAGACAGGGTTTCTCTGTGGCTTTGGAGGCTGTCCTGGAACTAGCTTTTGTAGACCAGGCTGGTCTCAAATTCACAGAGATCCACCTGCCTCTGCCTCCTGAGTGCTGGGATTAAAGGCATGCGCCACCAACGCCCGGCGCTTCCTTTTTTTTTTTTTTTTCCTTTATATCTTTATAACAATTTTTAAGAAACTTAAAGCCCAAATACAAAATCATTCTACCATATTTTTAGGTCTGAAAGAAAGTGATGTTTTAGTGACATTGATGGCATAAGGTATATAATTTGATGTTCTATACTGATGTTTGAGAGATAGGTCCTTTGACATGGTATTTACTGTAGTTTGACATTTCCTCAGGTATGTTACAAAAGTATTAATAGTTATGAAAGACCAAAACTTATACATAATAGCTGGTCCAGCTAGAGCAGTGCTTCTCAATCTTCCTAATGCTTCAACCCTTTAATACAGTTCCTCATGTTTAGTGACCTCCAACTATAAAATTATTTTTGTTGCTACTTCATAACTGTAATTTTGCTACTATGATGAATCATAATTAAATATCTGTGTTTTCCGATGTCTTAGGTTATCCCCGTGAAAGGGTTATTTGATCCTAAGGGGTCACAACCCAGAGATTGAGAACCACTGAGCTAGATAGACTATTTAGGTCACTGAGTTTTTTGGACTCTGACATGCTAAAGATGCCAGTCAGATTTTATTAAAGCCATGTCATACTAATAGATCCCAGAGTTAGCTTCACAGACCAGTCTTTACATTAGAGCTATCTTGGGATAAATTTGTTTCCTAACTATTTACTATTAAAATAGACTTTAAATTCCATAAGTAATCAGTGCTTGAAAATATTTTTATTCAAGTCTTAAAACTCTGGATCAGAAATTTCACTTCTTACTGAGGCAGAATATTATAAACAGCTTATAAGAAGTAGTCTTTCATTCTTTAAATATAATTAACATTTAGATTTTCTTATTACAACCAACTTAGTTTAAAGCACTAATTCAGGGTGATAAATGAAAGAAGTCATGAACAGTGGTGCATTCAGGAGGCAGAAGCAGTTGGGTCTCAGCTGAGGCTACACAGTGAGATCCTGTCTCAAAAAAACAAAAGAGAAATGAAACAGGCCCATTATTTAGAAAGGTCTGATCTGAAGAGATTAAGTTAATGGAGTGTATATATATTTCCTTGTTTATGGCCTAGAAGAGAATTAAGTTGTTTTTGAGGTGCAATTTATATGCGATAAAGTATAAACAGTTTTGATGTTGGTGTTACATCATATGGTGTTACTCATAGCTGCCACCAAGGCAAGATGTAGAATAGGTCTACCACCTCAGTAAGTTTTCTTGTGCTTCTTTCTATTCTCTACGCCAATAATGTGTTTTTTAAAATGAATATATAGATTTATTTATTGTGTAAATGGATGCATTTCTTTTTTTGCTTTTAATTGTCTTTATTTTTAAAATTAGCATGTGGTGACATTGAACTTTTGTGCTTACCCAGTTCTGTGAGTTTTGACATGCGGTGTAGATTTTTGTAACACTCCACAATTGGAATATAGATCTGTTTTGTCAGCTGAAAAACTCATACAGCCTTTCCCAGGCCTACCACCTGTGAGACCATCATCCATCCCTCCAGCTTTGCCTCTCAAGATCATTTTGTATAGCTGAGTGATGGTGGCTCTCTGTGTAGCCCTGGCTGTCCTGGAACTCACCCTTGTAACCAGGGTGGCCTCGAATTCACAGAGATCTGCCTGCCTTCCCCTCCTGAGTGCTGGGATTAAAGTTGTGTTCCACTAATGCATTTATTTTTTGATTATTTTCCAAACTGACAAAAATGAAACAATTCAATATAACTTTTAATTGTTTCTAGTAGTTACTTGGAACACTAATACATGTAGATATGTAGTGACTTCCTTATATTTTACACATATTTACACGCAACATTTAAATATGATAGATGTTATTCAAGCCTGGATCTTGCTCTTTCTACTACATGTTGTCACCTCCATAGATTAAGAACATTGCTTGAAGAAGTAATTATTGCCAGTATGACCTTGTCTAGTTCTCTGTAAAGGGATAATGATGGTATTGTTAGGTTGTGAAAATCAAGTGTGACTATACATATAAAATAATTAGAAATACCATCTACTTAGTAGCATGTAAAGAATGTTTCGTTTATCTGTACACACTTTTAAAGACCCTTCATTAAATAAATATTTTCAGTTCTAGCCAAGGAGATGGCTTGATGGATAAAGTGCTTGCTGTGCATGGATGAGCCCTTGTAAAATCTAGGCAGGCACTCAGGAAATAGAGAGCGGGAGTCCCTGAGGCAAGCCAGAATTAGTGGGTTCCACGTTCACCCCCACAGAAACCCTGCCACATTATAGAGCGTGGAGAGCAAACAAGGAAATACTCAACATCAGCTCTAAGCTTCAATACACATGTGAACACCTGTACACTTAAAAAAAAAAAAAAGACCTAAAAATTAACAGATTTCATCCTTATCTAATGAAATTTTGTAAATGATAGCTGGATGTTAAACATTAGGTGTGAGAGGGCAGAGGAATCTGACTTGGATATCAACTGAAATACTAATCAAAAGGTTAACTAAAGCTTACCTTTAAAATTGAACTTTCTTAGTTAGGGGTGTACTTTGTTGATCACCTTAATTGAGAAAAAAATGATTTTAAAGGATTGCTTTTCTGATCAATAAGTTTTTATTGCAAATCATTTAGAAAAATGAAGGAAAGTATAACTTAAAAAGCAAGGATTACCTACGATCCTACTAAGTAAGCTAATTCTTCATAGATTTACTCCATTTTCCCCTACTATTTTATTAATTCTTTAAAACAAACAAAAACACCTAAGTATTAATGAGCACTTACTAGTGCCTGCCATATCCCTGGCACTGGTCAGTCCCATATTTGTAGTCACTTCAAAACTTTGTTGCCATCTACTAGAGGTTAAATACCATTACCCTCCTAGATGGAGGGGAATTTAGTCTAAAGAAGTTAATTTACCTACTCAAACAATTAGTAAGCAGCAGAGCCAAGACTTAAAGCTCAGAAAGTTGTTTCCTGAGTCTGTCTATCTCCCCAAACATAATTTCCAATACTATGTAATAATTAATATGGAAAGAGAAGTCGTGGAATCTGCTTGGAATGCTTTCAGGCAAAAATAATCACAAAGACAGGATTATCTTTTTTCCATTAGAATAGATGTAGTATCACACGTAGTATGATACATTTTATCCTGCACAAATGAAAGTCCCAATTTTCTAGCCTAAAATTCATAATATTTCAAACATATTTGAAGTGATAAAAATGTTTATTTAGAAACAAATAACAATATTGGACAGTATGCTCTCAATTAAAATACTTAATTTCAAACTCATAGTTGTGTCCACTTTCATTGTAATAGAGATGGAGAAGAAGCTGTTAGAAGAAAGGTCTTTAAAGCAGAGAGTGGAGAACCTGCTCCTGGAGGCTGAGAAAAGATGCTCTATATTGGACTGTGACCTTAAACAGTCCCAGCAAAAACTAAACGAGTTACTGAAGCAGAAAGATGTGCTGAGTGAGGATGTAAGTATGGATTATACCAAGTAAAAATTAATGAGCCAATAAGAAACAAGTTTTATTGAGGATGCCTAATGGTGACTGCATTATTTAATTTCTTTTTCTTGTAATATTCTATAGACTCTGTTGGCTTTAATGGATTTTGTTGATAGAATAAATCAGTCATAGTTGAATAATTTAAAGTTACTTATACCTTATATTTTATTTAAAAAGATTAGAAATGCTATCCATATTTTAATGTGACATGATTAAGACAAGCATTATTCTTGAGAAAAATCAGAATAATTTACATAAATACCAAGTATACAATTTACTTTTTTAGGTTAGAAATTTGACATTAAAGATAGAGCAGGAAACGCAGAAACGTTGCCTTATGCAAAATGACCTGAAGATGCAGACCCAGCAAGTTAACACCCTAAAAATGTCAGAAAAGCAGATAAAGCAAGAAAACAATCATCTCATGGAAATGAAAACGAACTTGGAAAAGCAAAATGCTGAACTTCGGAAGTAAGTTAACTGGTTCCAACAGTTGGACAGCTTCTGAGAGGTTTTGTGTGTTTTATTTATAATAGTATTTATTTAAAATGAAAGCCAGGTGTGGTGATAATTCCTATAATCTCAACACTTGGGAGTGTAAAACAGATTGGGATTCCAGAGCCAACTTATATAGCAGCATGAAAGCAAAGTAAAACTGAAAATACAGGCACACACTGCATTAGCCATTGGATTCATGACATCATGATGTGACATATAGCCTCAGGAAAAGCCTAGGTACAGTGCTGGAGAAATTTGTCACACACACACACACACACACACACACACACACACACACACACACACACACACACACAGTGTTTTGTTGTTGTAACTGTTTTTTTTTTTTAAGCAGTGCTGATGTTTTTAACTTGAATAAAATGCCTCACACATTTGGTATTCTATGATTTTTTTTTTGTACAATCCATGGTAGCAGAGAGATGGAAAGAAAAGAAAAGAAAACACACACACACACACACACACACACACACACACACACACACAGTGTTTTGTTTTGTAGCTCAGTGGTTTTTTTTTCCCTAGCTGGCCATAACCTCCCAGCCTTTCCTCAACCTCCAGGGTGCTAAGATTACATGTACAAGTCAACACACCTGGCTTCCAATTGTTTGGATTTTTTTTGTTTGTTTGTTTTTTTAATACATGGTCTCATGAAATTCTCTAGGCTGGCTTTGAACTCACTATTCCTCCTGCCTCAACTTCCCAGCTGCTGGGATTACAGTCTCTGTCACCAGGCTTGCAGGGACGAGAGTTTGTAAATCAGTGGTGAAGTTAGTGCTAGCATGAACGCGACCTGATTGCAGGGGTTCTTTGACTGGGTTTAAATGTGTATACCTTACTAAAGACTTGGACCCTATGTGTTCACAGAGAGCGGCAGGATGCAGACGGGCAAATGAAGGAGCTACAAGACCAGCTTGAAGCCGAGCAGTATTTCTCTGTAAGGCACTTCTGCAGAGCCAGAGAATGGTTGTCTTTTAATTGAAACAAATATTTATTTCACTTTATGTGTATTCGTAGTTTGGGTGTAGGCATCTCTGTGTACATGTTCATGCCTGGTACCCTAGGAGGTCAGAAGAGGGTAAGATGCACAGCTTTTGTTTATTTGCTCTTGCTTGCTTAGCTTATAGACTTTTTAAACAGTCCTGCTGTATGTCCCAGGCTGGCCTCCAGGTTGCAAACTTTCTACCTCCTAAGTGCTGGGATTATAATAGTTTACAATCACACCAGACAGAAATTTGGGTGGAGTCTTACAGGACCCATAAAAAGCAGACAGGATTGGGAATGTAGCTCAGTGGTAAAATACTTGCCTAGCATGGAGGAGGTCCTGAGTTTAATACCCAGCACCACAAAAAAGAAAAAAAAACAAACGTGCTGGCAAAAGAATCTAATTGTTTAACAGGAATCCCTTATCAGACTGGCTTGGTGGTGTGTGCCTATAATTGCAACTAACAGGCAGGATGAGGTGGAAAGATCACTTGAACCCACAACATTGAGGCCAGTCTGGGCAACAGAAGGGGAAACACTGTGTCAAAACAACAAATCAGCTATTGTTGCTAGAACTTAATCCTAGGCATAAACTATTACGAACCTGTGAAGCTTGTTAAAAGCATCACCTTTTAGAAATTGTGCTTTTGTAATGAAAGGAATAAAATTGTCATTTTGATTTTAGGGTTTTTTTTGAAACCACTTTAAAAATATAACATATCTCTCCCCCCCTCCCCTGCCATTTTTCCAGGTAGGGTTTTTTAGTGTAGTGCTGGTTTTCCTGGAACTCATTCTGTAACAAGGGTGGCCTCAATCTCAGAGATCTACCTGCCTCTTGAATGCCAGAATTAAAGGTGTATGCTACTACCACCCAGCAATATGAAGTATTTTCATGGATAGTTCCAATGATCTGTCAACTTAAACAAAACAAACCAGCAGTGTTTTTCATCACCTTTTCATTTAATTGGAATTATTGCTGTAATATTCAGTTGAAAGTCATATTATATATATTATTAACTGTCCTTTTTAGGGGTTAAGTATGCTAGGAATTAGATGAAGGATATGCAGTCTACAGTGTACTTTGGCTGCTAGCCAAATAATTGTTTATTAATTGGTGACTAGAAAATGAGAAAACCCACAAAACTTGATTTCTCGGGAGCCCCAAATTACTCAACATTAAGAAAATATTTGTATATATATATTGAGCCTTTTGCCTGCTAGGTCTTGAATGTAAGTCATGTTCTTGGTGATAATGGACACATTTCTGTTTTGCTGCTTAGACCCTCTATAAGACACAAGTTAGAGAACTCAAGGAAGAAAGTGAAGAGAAGACCAAGCTTTGTAAAGAGTTGCAGCAGAAGAAGCAGGACTTACAGGATGAAAGGTAAGAGCGGGGCCTGTCCCTTGCTGGGGGTTGCGCGCCCGATTCTCAGCCTCCTTTCTACCAAGTAAACAGTTTGATGAAGAATCAAGTAGAGAATACCATCTCCAAGGGATTTGGGACTTAGCTTAGGTGACTGTGCTTAGAATACACGAGCCCTTGAGTTCAGTCCCATTACCATATGCTACATTTTTTTTATGATATATCTTTGAAATCAGAGACTCTTTGGCTGCCCAGCTGGAGATTACCCTGACCAAAGCAGATTCTGAGCAGCTGGCTCGTTCCATTGCTGAGGAACAATACTCTGATTTGGAAAAAGAGAAGATCATGAAAGAGCTAGAGATAAAAGAGATGATGGCCAGACATAAACAAGAACTTACTGAAAAGGATGCCACAATTGCATCTGTAAGTAAAATTCTTGGTGCTTTGGGTTTATAATTAAATTGTTGTATTATAAAATCCCAGAAACATCTATCTAGTCACTGTGTCAGGTGTAAATTAAAAATTGTCTGTATGTGCTAGCAAATTCTAACAGGCTAACTAAAGAAACATTTCAGAGAAAACTGAAACATAAAGTAGTTCATCTTGTGTGTCACAGTAAGGGGAGTGAATGGTCCACCAGAAGGAGGTACACACAAAAGACCTAGGTGTTTGTGCAGACAGTAATAAAGCCAGTGCGAAAGGACTCAGTAAGTCATTTGGAATAATGGAATTTTTATGTGAAAGGAATAAAGTTAGATCCTTACTAACTATGTAAATTGTACCTAGCTTTAAGGACCAAATGTGAAAAATAAAATTTTAAGCTATAGGACATCTATATGACAGAAGACAGCCTAAATATCAAAGAAAAGATACTTGTATATATTAAGCAGGATTACTATTTAGGATACATACATAGCTCCTATAAATCAGTAAACTAAATGAAACAATGTAGAAGAAAATTGGCTCAAAGGGACAGCTGTTCTCCAGCAAAGGGCCAGATGAACGCCACCGCTTTGGAATACCATTGCATGCCCTTCACATGGCTGCAAATAGAAGCTGACAACTTCAAGTGTCTGGAAAACCGTGTTTCCTTTACCATAAATGGAGAGTAACTTCAATATAGTATATAACAGTCTCTGGTAAATTTTAAGTGTATGATACCACCCAAAGACAGTCCACACTAAAGTAACTAGCACAGTGCTTATAGCCACATAAATGCTTATAACAGCAAGCCCTCATGCCTCTATTAGTAAACAGATTTTGGGGGCTGGTGAGACAACTCAGTGCTTAAGAGCACTGGCTACTCTTCCAGAGGACCTGAATTTGATTCCCATCACCCACACGGCAGCTCATAGTTGTCTTATAAAAACTCCGTAGTTTCAGGGTGTTTGACCCCTTTCTGGCCTCTGAGGGCACTACACACACATGCTACAGAGACAGACATTCAGGCAAAATACTTATTTGTATACATTTAATTAAAATTTAAAATAACAGATGTGGTGTAGTATATGGCTGTAATCCCAACATTTGGGAGGTGAAGGCCAAAAGTTGAAGAACACCCTCGGTTACACAGCAAGGTGGAGGCCAGCGTAGAATACATGAAACCCTGTCTCAGCAAACAAAACTGGAATAGGTACATTAAGTGTGGTAGAAAGTGAAAGTAAACAGAAGTTGGAGCTCAATGATTTATATCTTTATATCATCAGGGTAACATAGTTTATTGTTCGTTATTTTGATCTCAGGATGGCCCATAGTTCACAAACTTCTTCCTGCCTCACCCTCCCATGTGCTGGGATTAGAAATATTATCTGCCATTCCCACTTAGCATCTTAATTCTCACTACCCCTGGCTGCCTGAGCCTCACTCTTTTACCAGACTGGCCTTGAATTCATAGATATCCATCTGCATTTGTGTATTGACTACTAGGGTTAAAGTTGTACCTTATCATGGCAAATTTAATTCTTTAATGTATTGAGTCATAATTTTAAAAATCACATGTATTATTTCATGTGTTTATAATGGAAATTTGCAGTATTGGTTGGAAAGTTGAGCATGGAAATCATAATGAAACTTCAGGAAGAAAGGATAGGAATATAATCTGAAAGGAATATAGAAAAAGGATGTCAGCTTCTTCAGTTAAAAATTCATTTTTCATTTTATAGTAACATTCTGAAAGAAATACTACAGTTTTTAAACTTACTCTTCATGATCAGAACACAAGTCTTCTTTTTTATTTATTAAGTGGTTTTCTAATTAAAAAAAAAAAACTACTAAGAATTTGTGAAAGAAGCGCAGATTGTTAGTTTTCTGGAATACTTAAGTTTTAAGGGAGCAACAGTTTTATCAAGGGTGTGTCTGGTGTGGTAATACAAGGGCAAGAAAAGAGGTGAGAAATGTTACATCGGGGGTCTCAGTTTGAATTACTGTTTGACAACTAAAAGTTCATAAATTGATATGTGGGTTTTTTTCCCCACTTCTGTTTCTTAGCTCGAGGAAACAAATAGAACACTAACTAGTGATGTTGCGAATCTTGCAAACGAGAAAGAAGAACTAAACAACAAGCTGAAAGACACTCAAGAGCGTATGTATTAGCAGGAAGAAGAGCTTACTGTGAACATACGTTCCCAGGAGCTGTAGCTATTGGTGCAATTTTATTATCTGTCTTTTCAGAACTCTTAAAGTTGAAAGATGAAGAGATTAGTGCAGCAGCTATTAAAGCTCAGTTTGAGAAGCAGCTGTTGACCGAGAGGACACTCAAGACTCAAGTACGTACCTCAGCAGAATGCAAGTGTGGGTTTTAACTTTTTCATTCCTGTCACCTGTCACTTCTAACTCTACAGGGTAGAAGCTCTGCTTATCACAGTATCATCATTTTCAACAATTTCCTGGTTTATTTTTGTTGAGTTAGAAGGAACTTCAGATGCCCTACATTCTCTTCCAGTTTTTTGTTATTTGCTAATAGCCTGGAAAGAGTCAGGGGGTCTGATTATTGACACCCCTCTGCCAGCTCCCACGGTTGTATTTGTAGGAAACCATGTGTATGCTACTACTATTCTCTCTATTGCTGGAGAAAGTACATTTTAGTGCCTAGGCAAAATTCACTTACTCCAGAATAGGAGGGATGTTTGCATATTAAAATCTCTTCTAATAAAAGTTGAATTAGTAGAAAATGACATCAGATCAAACACGTAATTTAGTGGGGAAACACATCTAGGGCCTGGCATATGCTAGGCAAGCATTCTATCCAAGCTACACTCACAGCCCTTGAAACACTTTAAATCATCATTCTCAAAAAACATGAGAATAAAAACTATTTAGAATACAGGGTAGATAACAGTAAAAGAAGTGCATGCATTATTTAGAATAAAAAGTGTTTTGTGTATATATATATGTGTGTGTGAAGTGAGTACATGTGTGCATACATGTGGAGACCATATACTGCTTCTAGTGTCTTCCTGTATTACAATCTGCCCCCCCCAAAAAAAAAGAGGAGGAGGAGGAAAAGGAAAAGGAAAAAAAAAAACCCACAACTTGCCATCATTTGTTTATGAGCTTGTGCCCAGGGAAGTCAGAACAGAGTGTTGGATCCACTGTAGCTGGAGTTACACGTGGTTATAAGTACCTGACATGGGTACTGGGAACTGAACTCAGTCCCTTTTGAAACTAGAAGCAGTTTTAACCATTGAACCATCTCTCCAGCCCCTTCCCACCTTCTTTTTTGAGACAAAGTCTGTCACCAAATCTAAAGCTCACAGATTGGGCAAGACTAGCTGACCCAGTGAGCTTGAGGGGTCCTCTGTCTTTATCTCCCCAGGACTGAGGTTAGAGGCATGCACCACCATGTCTGGCTTTTTACATGGGTGCGAGGGGATCTGAACTCTGGTCCTCCTGCTTGTATAGTAGACACTTTACTGACTGAGCCATCTCCCAAGCTCAAAAGTTTCTTTATAGCTCTGTGCATAGGAAAGGAATTACTGGTGATCATATAGCTTGTAATTGATGAGTTTCTGAGAGAACATCTACATAATTAATTATATGCTTTTCTTTCTTTCTTTTTTTTTTTTTAAGGCTGTGAATAAGTTGGCAGAGATCATGAATCGAAAAGAACCTGTCAAGCGTGGTAGTGACACAGATGTTCGGAGAAAAGAGAAAGAGAACAGAAAATTACATATGGAGCTTAAGTCTGAACGTGAAAAATTGACTCAACAGATGATCAAATACCAGAAAGAACTGAATGAAATGCAGGCTGTAAGAATACTCTTACAATGAAAACAATTCTTAAAAATAGAATCATTTCCTTGTTTGTGTGATTGCAGGACATTTCTATTAGTAATTATTACTGAACTATGACCCACAGTTACAGTATACATCTCATCTGTTAATATATTTTCTTACAGCAAATAGCTGAAGAGAGCCAGATTAGAATTGAACTCCAGATGACCCTGGACAGTAAAGACAGTGACATTGAACAGCTGCGGTCACAGCTCCAGGCCTTGCATATTGGTATGGACAGTTCCAGTATAGGCAGTGGACCAGGGGATGTTGAGCCTGATGATGGATTTCCAGGTACATTTTCTTGGTCAGCCCTTGTATTTGCCTGAAATTTAAGTCAGCTGATTGCTTTAAGTTCCATGACTGACTTTGCTCTTGAGAAAAATACTGGTCATTTCTTTAAGGAAAAACCTACTTCTTGCAGTGGGGATTTACATGACGTTTTGGACTTGTTTCATTAAAACAAACATGTAAATGAAATTCTAAATGTTTAGGTATTTAACTCATGTTATGTGGTTCTGTCTGTATTTTAAGCTTTCATTGTTTTCTTCTCTCCTCCCTGCCTGGCTTCTTACTTATGGGCATTTAGTCCATTTCACTCAGTCACACACTATGGAGTCTATGTCCTTCACCTACCAGCGTTCCTCTACTTCTCTCAATATTGCCACTAAGCCCTCCAGTTCTCACACGCTTCTTGATTCTGACTCTGAAGACGATTCTTTGCCTTACTTACCTATTTCATCGGAACCTAATGGTGCAGGTGACATCCTGGAAATCTTTCCATCTTTGGAGTTTTCTCAGCTACTTAATTTTGTCTTTTTGAAAACAAAAATTAAAACATCAACTAACACCCACTCACTCCAACATGCTGTGCAGATGCAGTAAAAAAAAATAAACCATTGCATGAACTGTAAATCAAATTTAAGACATTTTTCAAATAGCTTCTGATTGTATTTGCTAGATTGATTTTTGCCAACTTTCCAGATGCAAAACAGTATGTTGTACATTCTTGGAAGTGCATGGATGGTTTTATCTGTTTTTTGTATAGAGAGGGACAGTACAGAAAAAGAACAAAATCAAGTGACCTGTTTCAGAGAATGTTCATAGTGTGCTGAATCTTAAAAGAGCACAGGAAATAATTTGGCCTTGTTCTTTCCCCCAAAAGCTTCACAGGTAAAATGATGAAGAATTCCCAAGTGCATCTTTTAGTCTTACAGAGGTTTTCACTGATCTCTCGACTCCAGTTTCCTCATCTCATGAGGGATAGAATTCTGCTGTGTGGAGCTGTGAGGACATCAATTTGTAACGACTTGTAGTATTAAGATATTCTCTTAGGATGCCATCCTGACCAAATTTGTTAGCACAGAGTCCAAAGACTTAAAATACTTCGTTGCTTGCTGAATGGGTTTGATCTGTGCTGTATATAGTTAGAATTGCTGTTCTGAAATTCCGTTTTCTGAACACACACTCATTTAAAGTGCTTTCTACTCAGCGGTGCGCGTTGTACCTCTAGTCAGTGCATTCTCCACAGGAAGAATGAAGGGCTTGTGTAGACATTCAGTATAAAGAGCTCAGTGGCTCTTGTGTTGCTTTCTCCTGAAGTTTGCCAGTGCATGAATTTAACCAATGGAGTATTTGATGTTATAATTGGGAGCATTTATTTATGATGTGATGTGTCCTTGATTTTGATTTGTGTTGTGTAATGTGCTTCTACTGATTATGCATTATTATAGTAGCCTGGGTGCTATATAATCTAAATTCTAAAGGGCAGTTTTGATTGGCTTGTGACTTCCACATTAATGGTTCATTAAATTCTTTGTTGTCAGGGGAGCATCATTATATTTTATCGTAATATATTTTGCTTACTTACAGAGTCAAGATTAGAAGGATGGTTGTCGTTGCCTGTGCGAAACAACACTAAGAAGTTTGGATGGGTTAAAAAGGTAATAAGTCCTTTTAAATGTGTTTTTTTGTTTGTTTGTTTGTTTGTTTGTTTGTTTTTTTAAGCCTCTGGTTTAACCATAGCCATTTTCCTTCTGGAGTTGTATCGTGGACATGCCTGCACATTTGGACACATAAAACTTGCTTATGCTTTCTGGTGTGGACTGATGTAACTTGTTATCTGTGTGGAAGACTTTTACTGTTCAGGTCGATACTTAAACAGCTTCTGGGGTCATTAAATAGAAGCCTGTTCCTCAGCTGTGTTTGTGTCCTATGGGAAATTGCTCTAGCTATGCTAGGAAGACCCTTGATGTTTGGGTTACCATGACTGTTCATTTTGTGTATAAATCCCAAAGCTTAAAATAGATCTGGTTTCAGTTTCATTTGCCTCTTCCCCTCATTTACTAATTTAAAATATCTTCCAACAGAAAAATAAATACAAATCTATAAGGAAATGAATTGTTACTATAAAGAAAACCTCCCTAAAGCTGCAATACTGCCTTTTATTTACTTTTATAGCATATGATTATAAGTACAGAATTTCTTGTGAAGAAAATACCATGCATAGTGATTTGATCAGTTTCTTCCTTTCTTGTTTTTAACAGTATGTGATTGTAAGCAGTAAGAAGATTCTCTTCTATGACAGTGAACAAGATAAAGAGCAGTCTAATCCTTACATGGTTCTGGATATAGAGTAAGTGTCTCATGTTGAAGTCTGAGAGTAATAGCTTGTCCGTCACAGCAGCCACAGTGCAGCGCTCACTCCACTAGTGTAGCAGTTCTTCTTTGTAGAAAGAAAGTGGGCAGTGTGCAGTGTGGAATACATCTGCGTTTCATGACATCTGCTGTCTCAAAATAACAGCAACAACAACAAAAACCAAGCTAGTCTTTGAGCTTCTAACATGAGTCAATAAAATAGCTGATTTTTAACTCCTGGTATAAGATGACCAATGTAATATAATCCTTGGGTAATGTTTTATTTATTCCTTTATTTTAAAATCTTCTATAGCAAGCTGTTTCATGTCCGACCTGTTACGCAGACAGATGTATACAGAGCAGATGCTAAAGAAATTCCCAGGATATTCCAGGTAAACTTGCTGGTTTTTCACCCTTAGAGGTTCTTACGTGACACGATGTTTTACATCCCTTTTTTTACTGGCCTAGGACTGCTTCCTGCTCTCCCTTTGTCTCAGCCCCAGTTGAGATGGTTGGTTCTTTACAGTGTGCCGCTTTTGGTTGAGGACAGCTCTGGTTCTGGTGGTTGTGTTTGTGGTTTATGTTATGCTTCTGGGCTTTGTTGGCCCTTTTACAAGATTGGTGTGGTGATAGTTGTTTCATTGAGCATGAACTTGCTCCTGTTTCGGTTTTATTCTTCTCAACTCTGGAAATTAAAAAAAAAATCACTATCAAGTTGAAAGCTATAGCACTTAAATGTTTTACTTAAAGTGAAGGCAAGCTTTTACTTTTATGGCTTCCATTTTAAAAACTTTCAAACCATAAGGCTTGGAGAGATGGCTTGGTGGTTAAGAGCTCTTACTGCTGCTCGTCAGAGCACCAGGGTTCACACCAGATAGCTCACAGACCACCTGTTACTCCAGCTCCATAAGATTCAATCCTCCCTTCTAACCTTCATGGGCACATGTGTGTGTGCACACGTGTGTGTGTGTGTGTGTGTGTGTGTGTGTGTGTGTGTGTACATGTAAAATATTAAAGCTCTCTATAAAAACCACAGTGCCTGATCCACTTTGGGGAATTGTCTTTTTTTCTGAGTGCTTATGCTGTTTTATTTGGACATTTTTTTTTTAACATATCTTCTCCTTTCCTTTTATCCCTCAACTCTCTAAATATCTTTTAAAATAAAAATGTGCACATAGTTCACCCACTTTTCTATTATTAAGAGATGTAAACAATGACCTTAGTTGTCATATTGGGCTTTTATTGTTTGGATAGGGAGAGGGACTAGAGATTGAACCCAGAGCTTTGACCTTCCACTGAGCTATACTTCTAGTCCTAAGTGTCTCTCCCACCCAGTGAAGTGGAAATTTGCCTTTTATTGGCCTATTCTGATAGGTTTGCAAAGATAAGGAGGTTGCGTTGATACAGATCAGTTCTTTCTCAGGTGAGCTCTTGTCTTCCTGTGAGGTAGTTTAGGCATGCTGTCAGGCATGCTACTATTGAGCCATGTTCTAGCTTACATAAACCCATGGTCAGGTAAACCTACTTAGGTTTGAACTTCAAAGACATTTTGCTCTCATTGAGTAATTTATCAGAAATGTTTCTATATAAGAATAGCAATGTGAAGCCTGGAGAAATGACTCAAAAGTTAAGAATAACGGTTTGGTTTCCAGCACCCACAAGGTAGCTCACAATCATCTGTATTCCAGGTCAAGGGGATTTGATGCCCCTTTCTGACCCCTGAAGGCACCAGGCATCATGTGGTACACATACATACATGTAGGCAAAATATTAATAAAATCAGTAAATATTTTAAAAGTACAGCAGTCACTCCTGTCCTCTTGGTGTTTATAGATTCTGTATGCCAATGAAGGAGAAAGTAAGAAGGAACCAGAATTTCCAGTGGAGCCAGTGGGAGAAAAATCTAATTATATTTGCCACAAAGGACATGAGTTTATCCCTACACTTTATCACTTCCCAACTAACTGTGAGGCATGTATGAAGCCATTGTGGCACATGTTTAAGCCCCCTCCTGCTCTGGAATGCCGTCGGTGCCACATTAAATGTCATAAAGATCACATGGACAAGAAGGAAGAGATCATAGCACCCTGCAAAGGTGAGTAGGGAAGTGTTTGCTGTGCTGTTGCTTGGGCTTGGGTTGGCTTAAGCACATTAATTAACTCACTTCAAATCATTCTTTTTGTAGTTTATTATGATATATCAACGGCAAAGAATCTATTGTTATTAGCAAATTCAACAGAAGAACAGCAGAAATGGGTTAGCAGGTTGGTGAAAAAGATACCGAAGAAGCCTCCAGCTCCGGACCCTTTTGCCCGATCATCTCCTAGGGCCTCAATGAAAATACAACAGAACCAGTCCATCCGGCGGCCCAGTCGACAGCTTGCTCCAAACAAACCAAGGTAATAAATAAAATAGGGTGACAAAATTGAAGCTGCTTTCTTAAAAATTGCTTTTTATGTTCAGACTAAAATCTTGGATCATTATGATTTTCCTTTTCTTGATATTTAAATGAGTCATTGGGAACCAAATATTTTAAACTTGGAGTATATATATCTTATTCTCTGATGTGGCTAAAAAATATATTTTAGAAGTTACACATATTCAGCCAAAATTTAAAAGTGATATTTTATAATTTTGTATATAATCATACTATTTTCATCTTTAATAAGCACATGGACTAATTAGTGATTTGGAAGATGGCATTAAGATTACACAGATGTTCATATGTCAACTGCACACACACATTGCCAACTTCCTTTAGTTAGGTGATCTGAGATGCAGAACTGAAAGTGGCTTCAGTTTTAATTTTCATAGATAAATTCAAAACAATGTTTCTGATTTAAAGAGCAATACAGTCAGCTTGAAGTGCACATGCTGACTGACGTGGGCAGTGCTTGGAACTGACGTGTCAGGTGATCTTGGTTAGAGAAATGCTGAAGCTATTTAATACGGCTTCACTGACTTCATTTCATTACATATTTGGATCCAAAAGAGCCATTTCTTGGCTTATTTAGGTACTAGACATTTATAAATATCGTTCCTCATTAAATGTGAAGGTTTGGTTAGCCAATGGACCAAGTGTTGACCTAGGTCAGGGAGTTGTTTTCAGCTGTTTTGTTGCCTAACACAGGACCTTCAGTATATGAGTGATACAACAAATTTCTCATATGAAACTTTCTGAAAGAAATGTCTCAAGGAAATAATTTAGAATGGCAAAGGTAGACTTGGTGTTTTGGTAGCAGAATGGTTGGATCTTTTAAATGTGCAAAATAAAATTAGCTGGACTTGGTGATGCATACCTTTAATCCCAGCACTTAGGAGGCAGAGACAGGTAGATCTTTGAGTTTGAGGCCAGCCTGGTCTACAGAGCAAGTTCCAGGACAGCCAGAGCTACATATTAAAATCTTGTCTTAAAACAAAAGAAATATGATAAAATTAATGTACAATAGTGGGTACATGATAAGGTACATACTGAACAAGTTAGATTTAGGAATATTAATACGTGCACAGAGGAGGGCGGGTAGGTCACAACAATTAAGAGGCCAGACCCATCTCTAAAGGAGGATAGAGAGTTGCTCAGCAGTTACAGCCAGCTACTACTGTCTAGCACTGTCTAGCACTGGCTTTAGGTGGCTCACAACTGCATGTAACTCCAGGCTCAGGGTATCCAACACCCTCTTATGAATGGACATTCATAATAGCACTCACATGCACATAGATACACAGAGATACACATACATATATACATATTTAAAAATAAAAGATAAATCTTTATTTTAAGATTTTTAAATCTTAAAAGAATTGAGAGACATACACTGAAGGCATTTTGTGTGTTCCTTTTATAAAATGTCTGAAAATTCAAATTTCTGTTATCAATATTGTATAACTGTTAATGCAAAAATGCTGTTTCAATACTTTATTTCTGTCTTCTGTGGCTCATATTCAATACCTCAGATTGGGTAAAACTAAAAAGTGTAAGTTTATTTAGTTGATGGGTCTGGAGGCTAGGGCTTCTAAACAGCATGGCATTAGCATCCAGAGAATGCTTCTTGCACCATGATGCGGCAGAGGGCTTTGTGTGCACAGCAGTCTTGCCCAAGAAAGATTGATTGTATAACAGAACTACTGCCAAGGAACTCACTCACCTCTGAAATGACTGAAATTACCTCCTAAGGGTCTGCTCCTCAGCACTGCCACCTAGGGATCTATTTCCAACAAATAGATCTAGGGGTCATATCCAGACAGAGATCTGTCTGTTTCTGCTCCTAAGAAAGATTATGTGCCCAAGGACCAGGTGTTTCAAGTCCAAATAATATAGTTTCAAAGTCTGCACTCTTAGCTGTCAATTCCACTGTTTGACAATGATGAAAGCAGAAGCTGACAGCTTAAAGATGGATTTCGAAATGTACTTTTGGTGTTATCTTGGTCAGTGTGCAAGTCTTTTTTTCCATTTTTTTTTGTTGTTGTTGTTGTTGTTATTTTGTTTTTCGAGACAGGGTTTCTCTGTATTGCTTTGGAGCCTGTCCTGGAGCTGGCTCTGTAGACCAGGCTGGTCTCAGACTCACAGAGATCCACCTGCCTCTGCCTCCCAAGTAATGGGATTAAAGACATGGGCCACCAACGCCTGGCTTTTGGTGCAAGTCTTTAATCCCAGCACTTGGGAGGCAGAGGCAGGCAGATCTCTGAGTTCAAGGGCTACATAGAGAGACCCTGTCTTTAGAGAGACAGACAGACTCAGCCTTACTGAGTTTGATTAAAGGTAAGTTAAAGCTGTATTCTGTATGTGTAATGTTCTGTTTTGTTGAGACTGGGGCAGAGCAGGAAGAGAAAGCTGGTAGACAGTAGTAATGTGATGCCTGAGAGAAAGCCTGACTCCAACCAAAAAGGATAGGTAGATTTTGTAAGGAACTTTGACTTAATTGTTTTGATATAAGTTTCTCAATGATTTACCAACATGGAAACCAAGTACTGACAGTGAAAAATATGTGGATAAGAAAAAACTGAATTAGCTGGGCATTGGTGGTGTACGCCTTTAATCCCAGAACTCGGGAGGCAGAGGCAGGCAGATCTCTGTGAGTTCGAGGCCAGCCTGGTCTCTAGAGCGAGTGCCAGGATAGGCTCCAAAGCTACACAGAAGAAACCCTGTCTCGAAAAAACAAAAAAAAAACAAAAAACAAAAAAAAACAAAAACAAAACTGAATTAGATGACTGAGTGGAAGAGAATGAAGGAGATGTCATATATTTGCATGAATAACCAAGTGTCTGCATATAGTTTTAAACACTGGGGGACTAGGGAAGTGACTTGTGCAAGCATGGGTATCAAGTAAAACCTGGGTATGATAGTGCATGCCTGTAATCCTAGGACTTGTGAGGCAGAGGCAGGAGGATCAGGAGTTCAAGGTTAAACCTGGTCTACACAGTAACTTTGAGGTCAGCCTAGGCTATATAAGACTGTCTGCAAAACAGAATAAAAATGATTCAGGTTATTTAAACATGCAAATAATGGGACCTTCCTACTTCTGCCAGTCATATCCAGATCTTAGAGTGAAGTCTGAGAGGTAAATCATACATATTAAAGGTCATAACTACTGACATGGTATTCACAGGTGTAACCTTGGGGACCAGAAATCCATGACTTCACAGTTGTGAATAATGAAAGGCTCCCTCCCCATCTAAAGGTGACTGCAGTGTCACAGCATAGATTGTTTAATAGGAAAGAACAGATCGGGGTGGTGAGATAGCTTAGTGGCTAAAGGCACCATCCCTCGGACATTCTGACCTTCAGGCAACTTCCATGGCATGTGTGTATGTTTGCACACAATAAATGAGTGTAATTTTAAAAAAGCAGAAGGATTATAAAATCTGAAGAAACCAGTATATTAAAATTTTTAATTAAAAAACTTGATTCATCCTCCAGTTTTGTGTTCAATTTGTTTAGCCAGGTTAAATTGACAGTGCCTCTTCCATGCTTTCTCTTGTCCTAGTTTCCATATTAGAACATAGCTGTTGTTGACCACTCAGCAGGTAAGGGCCTTTAAGAACTGAGAGATCTGTGTTCTTCCTGTTGCTCCCTTTCAAAGTTTATATTTTATAGTGGTATTAAACAACAACAACAAAAAGCAACTGTCAACTGATAATGTAGTTCTTTTTATACTTCTCAAACTGAAAATCAGGGTAGCTACATCTTTATCTGGGCAGTAGGAATGAGTGTGAAGAGCAAATTATGTTGTTAGCTCAGATAGTTTTGGGTTCCTCCAGAGAGCCCTTCTGCATTGTGCCCAGTCGACATGATCACAACTGCACATACCAGTGGAGAAGCTTTCCTGGGTGCTTCTATTGGAACTGTTGCCATGGTGCTCCTGAAGGGAAACACTGCGCTCTCTCTCCCTCCCTCCCTCCCTCCCCACGCACGCACGATGTGTTCAAGACAGGGTTTGCCTGTGTAGCACTGGCTGTCCTGAACTCATGCTGGAGACCAGGCTGGCCTCGAACTCACAGAGATCTGCCTGCCTCTGCCTCTGCTGGGATTAAAGGCTTGTGCCACAGAAAGGAAACTTATAGCACTTAGCATGTTCTAGCCATAGTGCTCTCTACGTTATACATATAAACTTGCCAACCTCCTGTTACAGATTGCTTGATTTGGCATTTAAAGACTGGGATTGGTCATTTGATGATGTTGATGGTGATGATGATGACGATGTTTTTGATTTCTGAAGAAATAAATGGGTAAATCAGAAAATGAATGAGTTTTTAGTGCTTCCATGTAGTGCATGTGGTTTGCACTTGGACTTTCTTTTCTCTTTTTTTGGACTAGTTTTGACATAAACGGTTTTCAATAGGATATGTTTAAAGAGTAGTTTTCAGAAATATTTCTAACTAGAATTTCCATGGCAAATGTAAAGGTGAAATGCTATGTTCAAATTCTTTGTTGCTATAAATTTTCAGTAATGTTAAAATTAAAATATTTTATCTTAAAAATTAAGCATGTAGAAATAAGAAAAGGAAAAAACTCTGCCTTTGATTCATTCCAGAGAAGCTGTATACAGAGAACTAAAACTTAACAGTGTTTTCAGTCTCAGACTAGTTTGTGAACATAGCATGGATTTGTTATTTTGTTTTTTTTTTCTCCTTTCTTCTAACTTGTAAGAATTACAGCCATAAAAACTTTATAAATCTGTTAGGTTCTGTGAACTATCTTTCTGATTTGTCTTTGTGGTGCAGTGAAATGTTTGCAAGACGTGCTGTGAACAATTCTGTGCTTTTAAAAAATGTAAAGCCAGGCATTGTGGCACACTTGTAATCCCAGCACTTGGGAGATAGAGGCAGAGAAATGGAGAGGTCAAGGGTATCTTCCAGCCTTGTAGTGAATTTGAGGCTAGTCTAGGCTACGTGAGACCCTGTCACTGCAACATGCAAGGCTGCAGTTCCCACTCAAGAGGCTGAGACAAGGCTTGTGAAGTCCATACCAGTGCAGGCTGGCTAGTAAAACCCTGCCTCAGACAGAAAAGGAGAGTGTAAAATGATTTGCTTAATAACCAAATTGATTGAAAGTGAAGCTTCATGATTTTAAATCTTCATGTAGAATAGACTCTTAACAAGTAGTCTGTCTTAATGGAGCATGTCATGAGGGCATGTACTTAACATCATGTGATACTGTGACCTCTATGTACAGGCTTGTGACTGTCTACATAGGTGTACTATGTGTTTATTCTTCTTTTAGTGTCTTTGTTTTGTGGTAGGGGAGGCTGGAACCCAGAATCTTGGACTTGCTAGACAAGTATTTTACCCCCAAGCTATACTTTAAATGGCTAGAGTCTAGCTATGTAAAACCTGACCAGAAATTGTGCTTTTTCGGCTACATAAGGCAGCTAGCAGTTCAGTGCTGAAACCTATAGTACAGGGGTTCTACACCTTTCTAAGGCTGCGGCCCTTTACAGTTCCTTATGCTGTACTGTCCCCCAACCATAAATTATTTTCATAGCTACTTCATAACTGTAATCTTGCTACTGTTAGGAATCGTAAATAATTTTAGAGATAGATGCTTGCCAAAGGGGTTATGACCCACAGTAAGAGACCCATTACTGTAGTGCATCATTTAACCCTAATATAGTTGATTAACTGCATTAAATGTTTATGGCCAGTATGGGACTTATTGTTGTATTTAGAATGTCACTGCATGTACCTAAAAATAAGAAAAGTAATACAATTGAGTATGTTAATGCATGAATTGAGTGTTAGAAATACAGGGGAAATAATAGTTTAATGATAAAAGTAAAATGGATTTTCAGGGAATTTAACAGTCTCTTATTTGAGTGTATCAGCTAACATTATTTTCCTTCCTTTCTAGCTAACTGCCTTCTATGAAAGCAGTTATTCAGGTGATTGCATTCTTCTAGCTGCAAGACTGAAATACGATGTCTCAAAACTTAACTAGAAAGCTATGTTCTACTGAGAGACTGACACACCCACATACATATGTTTCCTTTCCCCTGAAATAATTTTAAATCATGGAGACGTTTTATGGGCTGCTTTGAAACACATTGAACAACAGTGATTGGTGAGTAAAGGTGTCGTGCAACTCTTCAAGACTTGCTTCCTAGAGCTCTTGGCAGTCCTGTTACATTGCACAGGAGGACTGAGAAGAGTTCAAAGAGATCACACTTTGGCTTCAACAGAGGGTTTTCATCTGTACATTAGCCAGAAGAATTTGCGAGTGGATCTCACTACAGTGATGCTGTCTGCATCTTTAAGAAGTGACCATGATGTTGTGTTTATGTATGTATGTATGTACATATGAGTTGAGCCTCATATATATACACACACACCACACATTAAAAAAAACACATTGTACTGTAATACTGCAAGAAGGTATTTTTAACTTACCATTTTATTTTTTATACACATTAATCAGATATCATTACTTCAGTTGCAACTATGCACTTGTATAAAGCCATAATGTTGGAATTTATATCCTTCATTCATGTACCTGATGCATGTTTGTGTAAACAGTAACTGTAACAGGATGTTTGAAGTTAATTATCCCAGTTTCCTAATGCTTGTTGTAGGCAACTTTACCCATTTTGAATGCCTTAATTTAATTTTCTCCCCTCCCCCCCATCTCAACCCTTTTCTATATTTAAGAAAAGAAAGGACAAGTGTTTACCAGCTCTTAGGATGCAGCTCGCTTCGTGGGGAAAGCAGTACACTCTTTCACATGCAGTAGTTGCTCAGCATCATCCTGTTTTGTCTATGAGAGTTTTTAATGTATTTGGTCATAGAAGCAATAGCGGATTATATTGAAACTAATGTGTGTGATGTACATCTGTTGTTTTTTTCATCCCTTTTTATAGACTTCAGCTCATCTGTGACTACAAAATATTTCCTTTTCTTTGAACTTGCTGGTTACCCTAGATGTGTTTTTATTTATAGTAAAGGCAATTTTTCACATTTTCATTCAAGATTCAAATATAAAAAAATACTTAACACATGTACTGTAGATATATTTTAATATTTAAATGTGATCCTGAAACAAACAGCTGTATAGTAGTATATCAGCTTTGATATCTGGGAAGAGGCAGCCTCAGAAGCGCTTACTTTGATTCTTGTTGCTCAATGCTGCTGAGGTTAGAGAACAGGCGGGACCTATCCTGTAGTGCTGCAGTGACAGCATCAGGCTCTGTACATTGGTAAAGTTCAATATGATACTGAAATATTTGCCTAGACATTTGTCATTGCTTCCCTCCGGGGTCAGTGTAGAGATGTTGTAAAAAGTTTGATTCTCTTTATAGATTCTATTGTGGAAATAGTGGCCTTTGGCCTACTGGTATACTAAATCCCAATTCTGTGACCTTCAGATGGCCCAGTTGCATCTTTCATTCCATCTGTTAAGACTAGATGTGCATGCCATTTCCCTGGAAGCAGCTGTGCTTTGTAGCTCTAATTCAGAACACACCTTCCTTCCTTCCTTCCTTCCTTCCTTCCTTCCTTCCTTCCTGATTTAAAAATGAAAATATATAAAATTTATATAGAAGAACTATTTCCATTCATTAGAGTTGTTTAAAAGGAGACTGAATTAATATTTTATATAAAGATTTTGTTACATTATGGGAGGTTCTATCCTATTCTGAATTGGAGAGTATATATATATATATATTTTTAATAAACTTTATTAAGGTGAAATGTCAAGTTTACACATGAATAATTGAAGTATTTGAGTAAAAAAGGCAAAAGTTAAAATTTGGATGCTGTGCGTGTATATATGTATTAGAATTTGGAGAATCATGGTGTGATTCAGCAACTGTCCATGACACTTAATGTGAAGGATTCAGGGGAATAAAACATTCTGAGGGGTGAAAAAAATCCATGGAGCTTCTTCACATATGGTTTAACATAGGGATTTATTAGGTCATTTGTCCAACTAACAGAATTTTGAGTAAAAAAAAGAAACAAAAAGCAAAAAACTGTGACCTTAGAGAAGTACTTGCTTTTCCCATTGTCATTTACATGTACGCAGGTGCACATACCTGCCATTTTTTCTCCAACCCAACAGTCATTACAATAGCGACCTAATTTTGTTCCAGTTTCACTTTTTCTTGAGGCCCCCAAATCTTCAAGTTAATGATTTTCAGAGGAAATGTTACTTCCTTTATTCAGTTTGTCCCAGAGCCATACATACCTCCAGTTGGGACCTAAAAGAAAGGGAATGCCAGGTTTCCTTAGTTGGATACTTTTGCTTTGTGGAAATAAAAAGACAGAAGTAAAAGAACTAAGTTAGGGTATTACTGACAAAAATTGATGTACAATTAATTTTTAAGCGTTGCTTTTAGAAAAGCAAGATTAAAAAAAAAAATGCAGTTGAAAAGTTTCAAATGCCCAGCTAGCTAAAGTATAGTGAGCTAGTAATCCCAAGGAAAGGCTGGTGCACATACCTGGCCTGCCTTTGAGAGGCCATGGGCCCAGCAGAGGCTTTGCATCATCATGTGTAGATGTGGTGAGAAGTGCTCGAGGTTAGGTTCATGCTGCTGCTGCCCTCAGTCTGTTAGGATTCCCAGGGTGCCGTGGAGAAACTCAGACACTAACCAACCTCATAGGGATGCTCTGAGCGGCTGAACCCCACGTAAAACAAAGCTTCCGAGTTCGCTCTCAGGCCCTCTGACTGCTACTGACTCTCCTTGCCTGCCTGAAGGTGGCATCAGCTCCCCTGGCTCGTGGAGGTGCCACGCCAGCTTAAAGCACTTTGACAGGCACTGTGTGACAGTGCTGAGTGTTTGCCCTGTGGCCTCGCCCTGTTCCCTTCCCTGTGGTGATTTTTATTTGGAACTATAATAAGTTATAAACGGCATGATTTAAAGAGTCATCCTAGATCACCTGTCCCCCTGAACATTAAAAAATCATACCCTCTTGATTTTTTGTTTTGTTTCATCTTTGTAGTAATGTAATTGTATTTTTATGCCTGCTTTTTGTTTAAGAAAAATAAATAAAAAGAACCTAAGATGTAAGCATCTTTTTCTGTGAAGTAGTGTGCAATGCTGCAGCTTCTTAACCTGTCCCTAAAGGGTGTGGATAGGTGGGGTGATGCCATCATAGAAAAACCCTTCTTTCTGCCATGAGTTTTGGAGTCTGCCTCTGAATCATTCTGGGCTTGCAGACTTACACATCTGGTTCCAGGTGGGGAGGGTAGAGGACACAGGATGTGTTTCTGTCTGAAAATAGTGTGGTGGGCATCTCTGCAGAGGCGCTTTCCTGATAAGCAGTGGCCGTCCCCTGGTTTTGGGTCGGGTATTCTCTGAATGCATTCATCTGTAAAGTGGAAACTGTGTCTGCCTTGCAGGAACTGTTGTTTTGAAATGCGGTAGTGCATGTGAGATGGCTGCAGTAGCCCAGATGTTCCCTCCGGGTGTGGTGATGCATGCTGGGAGGATTTGCTGAAGAGGAGGAGGCCAGCTTGGGCTACAAAAGGGGACGTTTTTATTTAAAAGAAGTGCTGTCAGCAGTGGTCAAATAAAAGTCCTGATTGAATATATCTAAAACACTTTGGGTGAGGGCCATAATTTACATTAATGGTCTGATTGTCTGTGTATGTGAGGAAAGACCAACTTGGGTTTTGTTTTCTGACACTGGTTGAAATAACCATAGAATGGTTTGTTCAGATACAGCATTTCTCTAATCTGGGTCCAGGGCAATCATCTTAACAAGATCAGTTAGCTTGCTAAGGAGCTACACCTACATAACTGAAAATTCATGACAGTTAAGATTCAGTGGAATTCAATAAGCGAAAGTTTATTTTATATAGGAAACTAAACATTTTCCAGTAAACATCATTTACTTACTTACAATATGCCCGAATAATGACATGCATATAGAAGAAGAAAGTGCACTTTTAAATGTTAGGTTTATAAAACATCAGCGGAAACACTGTGAACAATGCTTAGGATATGTTACATTAGTAAGAATAAAATCCCCGAGAATTGGGTAGGGCTTAGCAATACTCTTTACTGCATACCTTCCAGTAGCTAAAACCAATACTAAGTTCCAGCAGTGTAACTATGAGGTATGACCCCCTTTTTAAAAAAGGCTACATTGTGCTCAAATCAGGAAGGCTGTTAGGATTTCCTCCTCTAAACAGAGATCAGGGATCTGTTAGAAATGGTGTAAGGCACACTGTGAAGCGTTGGAGCATACTTAGTTATAGACCCAGCAACATCTGTGTGCACTGTGATAGCCTCGCTTGCCTTGAGCAGATGTCACTCTGCATTGTGACATGCAAGGCCAAGCCCTTGGTCATGGAAGGGTTAAACTGTCAGGCGTGACTGAGCAGACTGCACTCCTTGTGGGAAGACTATTATAGATTCTGAAAGCCGAAGTATAGATGTAACTGGCTCTCCAGAGAGAACTTAGTCCTGACTTTAAGGGTTAAAATGGTTTCTTGGGCAGCTTCCATCATGGCAGATGTCAAGCCAGGTGTGGTGGTCCCCTCTGTATTCCAGCACTCCCAGTGCTCAGAGGCTGAGAAAGGATCACAGTTGAAGGATAGCTTGGGCTATGTAGTGAGACTTTATCTCAACACACACACACACACACACACACACACACACACACACCCACCAACCAAACAACCCCAGTGTCTAAGCCCTACCACAACCTATGGGAGTTGGGGGAAGGAAGTTGGCATTTTAAAACAAGTAGTTCTTTCCTTCTACCTTTTTCCTTCTGAGTCTGCTGTATAGCCCAGGCTACCTTGAACTCCCAAGTGCTAGGATTGTAGGTTTGCACCTCCATATCCAGATAAGAGGCTTTTCAACTCTAACAAACCTGATTTAAAATTTCTGAAATGATTGACTAGTAAAAGACTTTAAATGTAGCAGTGGAAAGCAACGTTGCATCCCTGGTTCAGTTACTTGAAGTCCATTGTGTGGAAAGAATGTATCCATCATTCGGCTTTGGTGACAGGCTTCCGATAGCGCAATACTGTTATTGTTACCCATATGTTTAAAGCCAACATGACCACAAAACGGATGAGAACTGAAATAAATAAAAAGTTCCAACATTAAAAAACCGGACATTATACTGCTCTCAGAAGCCTACATAAGGTTATATCCCAATCTCAAACAAAACGACAAGATCATGAGACACACAGCATTAGCTTCAGACATTTCCCTGGGAAAGGACTTGCTGTAGAAATGCTCACCTTAGGCGCTTGGCCATGCATCCTCGGTGCTTCATTGAAGTGCTGTGGCTCTGGCTAAGACGTGCAACTAAGACCCCTTTACTTACATCTTAAGAACATGGGGTGTCTCAGAATGCTGCATTCTACGAAGACCAATCTAGTAAAGTGTGGACCCATGAGGGAAGCTGAGGCAACAGGACCGACTGCTTGAGGCTGAAGAGAGAAGCCAACCTTGGGAGGCACAGCAAAAACTCCTCCACATCACATGAGAGTATTTCTGACAAGTCAGGCCTGTGTCGGTATATGTTGTATAATGAAGTGACCACGAAAAAATGTGGTCGATAGACCAGGAGAACAGTGTCCTAACTTGCCCTAACACATGAAGGCTTGTGTTTGTGTCATGACAGGGTCTCGCTGACTCTCTGTGTAGCTGAGGGTGACTTTAAACTCCCAGTTCTCCTGCTTCTGCCTCCCAGGTGCTGCAATTACAGTTTTAGGAAGTGTTGAAGATTGAAGTCAGGGCTCCCCACATGTATGGTAAGCCACCTCCCCAAATGAACTACAGCCCCACGTGACTTCTGAGATGTCCTTGGAATGATAAAACACGTACAGCATCTAGCCACACTATTTTGGACAGGTTCTCTTTATGTAGCCCTGGCTGTCCTGGAACTGTTTTGCTTGTATGTTTGTTTGTTTACACACAGGCCTTCTCTGTGTAAACAGTCCTGACTGTTCTGAAACTAGCTTTGTAGACCAGGCTGGCCTCAAACTCACAGAGATCTGCCTGCCTGTGCCTCCCGAGTGCTGGGGTTACAGGCGTACACCACCATACCTGGCTGGCCACACTGTTTTTAAAAGCTAGTCACTAAGAACACTGGAGACTGATAAGGTACAGACTGCAGTGGGAGTCTTAATCTTTTAAGTGCAGGCTTTTTATATGTAGGCTCTTTGCTGTTTAATTACATTCCTTTCCCTCCTGTGAACTCAAGTCCCACAGAGAAGAGCTAGGTCTGTCTCCTTTTCCATTCCATCACTAAAGTCAGAGCTGTTTTGTCACTTTCCAAAGATGCTGGGTTGGAAGTTGAAAACAGCGGAAGGACACCCCTGTTCCTCTATGAGCATGTAGCAAATGGTGCTACTAGAGCCATTGCTTGAAAACACAGCTGGGGGTGTCTTACTGCTCCCAGGCATGTCTACATTTCTGGCTTCTCTGCCTCTGCCAGTTTCACTTCCCTTCCTCCCCTTCCCTCTCTCCCAGCCCCTGCCTCCTATGCTCTGCACTCCTCAGTGTGGCCAGCCCTGGCACCTTCTTTGCTCCTGATCATGTGTGTTGCTCTGGTCATGTGTATTGCTCCTCTGATCAGATCTTTATTCAGCCTTTAAGCCCTCAGTTTGCAGATTGCTCTCTGCTCACAGAGTAGGCGGGGTTCGTCAGCTACCGACTCTGCTTGCTTCTGTTTGGTTTTGGAGACTGGGTCTCCCAGGCTGCCTGGCTCATTTGCCTCAGCTTCTCAAGTATATGGGATGTTAGGCGCATGCCACCACACCCAGCCACCCTACTCTGAAACCCCATTTCACAGCATACTTCAGCAGTTAATTGTGGAACTCCTGCCCAATCTCCTTGTTGAAGTAGAAACTCCAGGATGACAATTGACTCCCTTGGGTATATTTCTCCCTACAGACTGCAAGGAGTGGATGCTTAATAGAGACAGTCACTGTTGAAGACATTGTTTTGTCCTCTGAATCCATAGCCCGATCGAACTAAATCGATCTGTTAAGCCTTGTGATGGGTTCCATGTTAGACCCAAGTCACACAGAAAACAAACAAAAAAACACAAACATGAAGTCAAAAAAGGTTTTGCTTACTTGTCAAATCATTGGTGGTCATTAAAGTTGTTATTATTCTTGCTGTAAAGGAAAATTCGTAGCAATAAATAACTTGCTTCTCACACTTTTGGTATTTCTATTTAGCTTATACCTTTACATTTTACTAAAGTATAGTAATGCTTACTTCTCAAATGACCTTGATATGGGACCCTTGTTAATACTGTATTGAGCAACCATCTAATGAACAGCCATGCACCCTGACCCTGGCCCAGTCATGAAGAAGCTGCTCAGAAAAGCAAGTGATTTTTAACTATGTCATCGCTGCCAGGGAGGGCTCCCATCCTTCCCTGTGCTCACACTCAAGAAATAAACAGAACAATCTTAAGTCTCATTTGTATATTGAGTCATTTCTGTTGAAGGCTCCCACTAGTTAAAAAGTATATATGTTTGGGGCGGGGTAAGCTGGAGAGATGGCTCAGTGGTCAGGAAAGAGCACTAGCTGCTCTTCCAGAGGACTTAGGAGCACTTCCCAGCACCCATGTAGGAGCACATAACCCCAGTCCCAGAGAATCTGATCCTTTCTTCTGGCCTCTGAGGGTACCAGGCATGCATGTGGTACACATACATAAATTTAGGTAAAACACCCATAAACATAAAACTAAGCAAAAGTAATGTTTTTAAAATTATATATTTTTGAGACAGGGTCTCACTGTGTGTCACCTTGAACTTCCAGAGACCCACCTGCCTCTGCCTACTGAGCAGAGGGATTAAAGGCGTGTACTACCACACTTGGCAAAAATTCTTTAAGCACTGAACTCCATCCCATTTTTCACAGGTAAGCAAACTATGACTTGGAGAAGACAAACCCTTCCTGTCTAACCCGAGTTCTCTTGTTTAACTCCTTTCTCAGTCAGCACCCCCCTGTAGTGAACAAACAGTACCCTGGGTGACAGTTAAAGCCACAGTCTGCATGATAGCTGCTTGTGTACAGGGATACCCTTCCTTAGCAGGTTCTGTTGAGTAGCTAATTACAAAGGTATTTGTATGCAAATGACCTGGAACACTCAACACCAGGAAACCCCTAGTACTAATGAAACCCAGTCCCTGGAGAGTGGTGGCCTTACTTGCACAGGTGTAGGAAGAGAGGCCCCAGGTCAGCGCGCTCACAGCTCCTGAGTCCTGGACCTTCCACAGATACTGAAGCTGGGCAAACTTACTGGCCACACTGATGACTGTGCTTAAGTTCTGTTGTGGGAAAAAAATGAGAGTCGGGAGCCTAGAACGATATAGGACTGGATATAGTGCATACATACATACATACACACACACACACACACTCACACTCACACACTCACAGGAGAGGGCACAATTTGTGGAAGCTAGTTTTCCTTCCACCATGTGGTCCTGGGGACTGAACTCAGGTCATCTGGCTTGGCAGCAAGCACCTTTAACCCCTGAGTCGTCGTATCAGCCCAGATACAGTGCTTTTTAAGCCAAACTAGACTTGAAAGTCTAGCAGTCTCAAACCTACCAAGCTTTGAAACTTCAATTTGGTGAAGAATGACCCTCAGCTACCTCTGTGGTAGGGAGTGAACTGGCCAGAGCTAGTCTAAGGCCTAGCTGCAGACCCAACATGTCTTCTACTATTTCCCCAGAAAAGGTTGGTGTATCTCAGCCTGTCACTAAACTGCTCAACTTCCAAACTATTCCTCATTTTGAGCACTGTGTCCTCTGTGCTCTTTCTTGGCTCTCAGCCAAGAAAGCCTTGCACATTGGCTGTCAACCCCATCAGGCTCCATCTCCACAGCAGCTACTAAGCTCAGACCAGAGGGAGACCACTGCAGTCACCTGGGCTGAACAGGATGGCATGAGCAGCATACAACAAGTCAGGGAGGGAGGCTAAGAGCACTGACTGGTTGTTCTTCCAGAGGTTCTGAGTTCAGTTCCCAGCAACCACATGGTGGCTCACAACCATCTGTAATGAGATCTGGTGCCCTCTATGGTATGGATGAAAACAAAGCACCCATTTACATAAAATAAATATTTTTTAAAAAGAAGTCAGGGAGATGAAGTTGAAAAGACCACAGAATGTGGTGTGTTTGAAAGCCAGGCAAGAGGCCCCAGTGGATAGTACAGAGATCCTGATCTATAGTGAGATAAGAGATGAGTGGCATGGCTTTCAAATGAGTGACAGTCACAGGGCCCTTGATAGGCTCTGCTTCCTGCTGGGGCAACAGTACCTGTACGGTGTGAGCACCTGGCTGGCCTCCAGAAGTCCTTGTGGGGCTACACAGGGAATAATGGAGCATGGAATATCAGGGTGTGTCTGGGCAGAGGAGGGAGCAAAACATTGCTAGGCCTAAACAGATAAAAGCTACAGTGGGAGCTGGGCACAGATGGCCTGTGGGGAGGCTGGACCCAAGCAAGGAAAAAAAACTCTTGAGAACTTGGGGTGCTGGATAAAGAAAAGGAGGGGTCAGGGCCAGCTTAGTGTCATGGGGAGGACCACAAAAGTGGGTTACAGGCTAGCCCAAAAGGACAAGCTACTGGCATGTTTACTTTTCAATAAAAAGCCAACTTTGATATCAAGGGGTAGTCTGGGACCAGGCCATAAGAGAACTCTGGTAGTGTCAACACACACTCAAGGAGGGAACATCATGTTATCCCACAAAATGGTCAAGTGCAGGCAAGGGACTGGCAAGCTGAGGCATGAATAAACTGCATGGGGGCATGAAAAGTACCAGTCCCCAAGTCTCCCAGAGAGCAGGTGCACAGCAAGTTCGTGTAGGGGGCCTAAAGGGATTCTGGATGGAAGGAAAACGGGAAAGTTATCTTTTAAAAGTTATGCTGTCAGGGTTGGCAAGATGGAGCCATGGGTGAGGAAGATTGCAGAAGGGCCTGATGACCTAAATTCAATCCCTGAAACCCACAAGATGCAAGGAAATGACTTACAAATCTCTGCACGCACCCATCCATACACAAATAAAAATGGGGGAGTCCATCTTAGTGTTCCCCTTGAGCCCCAAAGCCCAAACCTTTCAAGAATAATGTCTTAATATCTGGCTGGCATTGCCTTTTCATCTGTTTCAGCATAGCTGAAAAGCAATGGTCTCTACCTGTGGGTCTCTACCTCTTTGTGTCTAACTACCCTTTCACAGGAGTCACCTTGACCACCAGAAAGCACAGGTATTTATTTACATTACGATTCATAATAGCAAAATGATGGTTACAAAGTAGCAATGAAAATAATTCTATGGTTGGAAGTCACTGCAATATGAGGAAGTGTGTTAAAGGGTCACAGGATTATAAAGGCTGAGAACCACGGCTCTAATACGATGTAGGGGCAGTCTCCCTCCGTTAGGGGCACCACTCACCATGGCCAGGTCGATGATCCACTTCTGCAGGCTGAGGATGAACCAAGAAGACACAAATCTGGCCAAGTGCTAAGGGACCTAGCAGTGAGTCACTGACAGCCCCACCCACTCCTCCCTTCTCTGCAGACCAAGTCAAATCACAGAGGGTGACACAGAAGCCAAGGTAGAAGGGGGGGGGGACTATTCTGCTAGACGTCCATTTGGAAAAGATGCCAGGGGTTGCATGTGAACATCTGCTCTGAGTTCAAAAGAACAGAAGCAAATTGTGCAAGAAAACGCACAGGTCCATGTTCACAGACTGTAACCTAGGGCTGGGAATATTCATACGGCTGTAGGTATATGCTGGTTTCCTGACCATGCTGGCGTCTCTAATGTAACATCAAAATGAAGCACTTAGAAGCAAAGGAGAGTTGTCCTGCAAAACTGGTGTGCTGTGTGTGAACTTTTTACTGAATCCACACCCCTTTCCCACTAATTCTGTTGTAAAAGCACAGTAGTTGGGGTGATGGTAGGCAAGGAGGTACCATTTTCCATCCGGACTGTGTAGGACTCTCATGACTCAGTGACTGCTTGAATCTTGAATCAAAAGAGCCCAACCAGAGCAAAAAGATCAAGCTGTGAGGGCTGAGGGGAGCCATAGTCAGGGCAGGAGTGGCTGGCAGGAGCAAGTCACTCCCCACTGCTCTGCCTCAGTTTCATTCCCTGCCCTGTCTACCTCCCACATGCTATCAGAAGAACCCCAAAGGTGGCTGAAAATAATGGCTACATTAAGTAGGTGAAGGGATTAAACTAGAGATGGCCCATGCCAGTAGGCAGCAGAACTGAACACAGTGTGTGGCCCACATCGATGGCTGGAATCCAGCTGCACCAAAACATTCTCTATGCAAAGTGTAGTGGTGCATGCTTGTAATCCCAGCATTTGGGAGGTGGAGGCTGGAGAATATGGAGCCATGCTTTCCCTGTTTCTATGGAAAGGGGAGCCTGAGTCGGGCTAATAGCAATCTGAGACAGCTTGTAGTCAAGACTTAACCCAAACCCTCGGGGCCTCTCACTGTCATGGAGCCAGCAGAACTAGCTGACTGCCATTGCCATGCAAATACTCTTGGCCTACCTTTTAAGGAGTATGAAGAAAAGTGACACCAAATCCTTACGAAAAAAAGCAGACATGAAATCTCACCCTCTGCATAGAAGATGCCATGGAGTGGAGCAGGTCTGTTGGCTGGCCATTCCTCATGGTTAAAAAGCCTCCAAACTAACACGGCCACCCAGACAAGGCTCCGGCTCTAAATTACAGTTCTACATAGGTGTGTGATTATTGGAAAACTGCCCCCATCTGGCTCATGCCTTACTGGCAGGCACCTGCCAGCTGCATCCTGCATGGGACTTGGTGCCAGGCACTCTTGTACTAATCCCCTGGGGACAAGCTCACTGACCTAAGGAGTGTCTGAGAGCACAGGTGGAGTGTATTGCTCTTAACAGGGTGACTGTGCACTTCTCTTGTTCAGCAGGGACACACAGCAAATCTGTACCCCACTGTGGTCTCAGAGGGTACTAAGGCACTGTGTTGCAGGGACACCACAGGCAGCAACTGTAGTAACCTAAGGTTCATGTAAAGACTTGCATTTTATGATTTTTTTTTTTTTTTTTTTTTTTTTTTTTCGAGAAGGGTTAGCTCTTGTAGACCAGGCTGGTCTCGAACTCACAGAGATCCACCTACCCTCTGTCTCCCGAGTGCTGGGATTAAAGGCGTGCGCCACCAACGTCCGGCTTATGATTCTTTTCTAGTCATAAAAAATGACCTTAGCCGGGAGTTGGTGGCACACACCTTTAATCCCAGCACTCAGGAGGCAGAGGCAGGTGGATGTC